GCTATATTATATCGTGATCCTGTGATTTTCTTGCACGATGGCTTTATAGTTTAGTGGAGGAGTACGCGTTGTCCTTGTTGTCGGCCTTGTCGTTGGTTAAGCGCGGAAAGGGTAAAATCGTCGGGGCGCGCTGTCGCAGTTCGACGGTAACGGGAGTGAAAATACGAGGGGACATCCGGTGGCCCCGCAACCTCAATTTTAACAATGGTGGAGGCGTTGGAGGCGTTGGAGGCGTTGTTAAGCCATTTATGAGGAAGTTGGCAAAAGTCGCGTGCTATCGAAGAAGTCGGTGCTGCAGTGCGGCGGTCGACTGCACAAATCCTCGGGCGGGCGGTCGGTCGGTCGGTCGGTCAGTCACTGGGACGGCGACGGTGACGGTAACGGTGGTGGCACCGAGAGAGAGAGAGAGAGAGAGAGAGAGAGAGAGGGAACACTGATATATGATTTTTCAACAATAAAAGAGCAATAAGGAGGAGCGCGCGAACGCAGCTCGCTCGAGCGACATGAGCGAGGGTATTGTTGGGCCAGCACAATGGGCCTGTTTGCCAACATTCGTTGACCGCGAGTTACATTTTTTTCTTCGTTCCTCGATTTTTTTCCTTCTTACGCTCCCTCGCCCCGATTGATAATGGACTTTTTCCAGCTAACTCGGCGCGCCTCGCCTACTCGAGATTGTGAGAAAATGTATTGTTAATTGTTAAGGCGATTATTATTTCATCGGATCACCAACTGTCAACCTGAGCGACGAGAGCGACGAGAGCGACACCTCCTTTTACGCCTCTACGCCGACTATTTTATTTCCTAATATGTTCCTCAATCTTATTTATCTTGCCCCTTGCCATCGCTATTAGCGTTCGTTTCTGCCTATTTATTAACTATTCTCGACAAATCATAATTTCCTACGGATATGATAATTATTTTACCGTTATGTCTTACACAATGTACAATCGATTTTGATTTATCGGTCAGAAAATCATAAAATTCTTATTATATTATATTCATAAATTATTTTTACTGCTAGGAGATGTTCGTGTTTGTTTTTTGGAATTATAAATAACTTGTATAGCCTTTTACTTGCAACAACGGTTATTCAAACTTTTTATTGTCATGTTTCGGTAAATTTACTCAAACTAATGAAAAAATATTTTCCATTACTCAATTAGTATTATTATTGATTTGTCTTTAGACATTACATTACGACAACTACATGGAGCTTTACTTTAGGTGCTTTTTTAATGTACCGAAAGAGAAAAATGTTTTTAACATTTATTAAAGATATATTTGAGGTTTTTTTGTAATGAAAAAAACTACTGCCATTTCCTTCGTGCGTGCCAGCATCTTAAACGAGAGCGTGTGTATGTGTGAGAAGGAGAGAGCGAGAAAAGAATTTTGGCTTGTTTTAAACCATGAGCGGATAATCGCTCGTGTCGCGCCTCGCTGCGTGAAATGAGGCTCCGTACAACATTAACGTAATAAAATAAAAGAGAGAAAAGGGCGGAAGAATGTGCGTGTGTCGTTATATGGCAGGGCGGGAGGGTACGTGAGAAGGATGGCTGATGAAGAAATAGAAGGGGCGAGAGAGAGAGAGAGAGAGAGAGAGAGCGTAAGAGTGTGAGAGAAAGAGTGATAGAGAGTGAGTGAGAAAAGGGCAAATCTATCGAGTAGAGGGGCGGGAGGGAAACGAAGAAGGATAGAGTGAGTAGCTGGGTAGAGGTAGGACGTAGAAAAAGAATAATGGCGAGAATCGGAACTGCAAAGGAGGTTTTGCTACTTTATGGCACGTTTGTTGAAGATGTTGCTTTGACGTTTCCAAATCAAAACAGGATAGCATTTTTACAACTATTAAATTTTAATTTAATTTACAGTCTTCGGTCAAACGGAATTTTTCATCAATCAAAGTATTTATTTGCCTTCAAGTACGCTTCGATCAACATCATAATAATTTCTTTATCATTTTTCATTTATAAAGAAAAGCAGCGCTTTTGGCCAGCAATGTAACATTATAATCTCAATGACGAATTCAAATTAAATGATTCAAATTCAAGTGCATATTTGTTTGGTTCTATAAGAAATTCCAATGTTATATTTGAACATCCAAGGTGAACTGATAACATAAATAATCAGACTTAATAAAAAATACTATGGATGTTGATTGCTTAAAAGCACATTTAGGCCATTCGTTCACGAATCACGAAGTGATTCAAAGTATACACAACTTAATCGTCTCGCGGGTCGTAAAAATCTTGAGGCCGTAAATTTCGGAGGCGCACGCCAACGCCAACCTTATTCCAATAACTATTCCATATGTTTTCTTTTTTTACGGGTAGGGGAAAAATCAGTCAGGTTATGCTTGTTGAACATGGCCCTTTTGTTCTTTTTCTTTTCATATTTTTCTTCGCGCGAAAAGGCACGGACAATTTTTCCTCGTACGTCTACTTAATTTTTATAAGAATTAAGCATTGCAAATTTCCTTAAAGTTTGCTACCAATGCAACTGTCGAAAAGTAGAATTTTATTTGTTCATTTTTTATATAGTAATGACGTTATTTTCAAAGTTATCGATCGTACGATCGAATTGCTCGACACTATTTACTTCTAGCAAATCTACATATATATGAGCCAATATACTAATCAAGAATTATAATTTAATCGAGACGATATGATTCCATAATTATGTGCATATTGTGCATGGATTGTATATTGTATATATTAATAAAATAAGAATTATTAAAAGTAATTTAAATAATTTGGACATTAGTATCTAAGAACAATTATGGGATAAGTCACTTATTCGATCGTCACATATATTCATGAAATAATTTTCATCATTATCGACAATTAAACACACACACACACGCGCGCGCGCGCGCGCGCGCATATATATATATATATATATATATAATTATAATTTTTCTTTATGCCATAATGCTCTTACATTGAATTTTAGTGACCCCATAATGTAAAAATTTTAATCAAACAGAATAATTGATATATTTATTATTTATTTATTTATTTATTAAAAAATGTTTATAAACAAACGTGATAGTGGCAATCGTTTAAAATCATACGCTTCCACTTTTTATTTACAAATGGTAACGCGAATTTCAAACTCGAACTTATGCGCAGGTCAATAGTTTCACGGGGCATAAAAAAACAGAGCTGTAAATTTTGTAGGCGCATGCCGTCTAAATACCTATTTACTACTCGATATACTCCATTTTCTATAAGTATTATTAGTTTTCTATTTCTTCTTTTTCTAAAGTTACGCTCTCAAGAGCGCGACGTAAATGTTTGGGCTGATTTTTGAAGCTTCGCAGAATAATATTTGTTCCTTCGTATCTGATTCGAGTGTTGGTATAATAAGCTTTTTGAATACCTTGTTTGCTTAAGGATCGAGAAACTTATTTAACCGTAGTTGTAAATCACTGCTTGATGTAAAAATTAGTATTTAGTCGGTACGTTGAACAATACTCTTCATTCATCGATCAACTTCCTGACTGAATTTATTAAAACAAAAATTTTTAGTCCCTTCTAACAGAGGATTATTATTGAAATATTAAAAAATGTTTGACTTAACACTAAACTAATCTAGTTTCGATTCTAATAAAATTATTGAATTCAATTATATATTCTTAAATGGCATGTTCATTAATGAATAATCTTAATAAATAATAACACATCATTAATTAAAATTCTTTATTCAAAAACATCAATAACAATTATTTGTTGTTAATTTATTGTTGGCTTACACTCGCACATAATTTGGCATGATATTTTCTCTTTTAATATAATCTTTAAATACTGCAAAAGTAATTTCATATTAAATAAAATACTCTAAAACATTATCAATAAATCAGTCACTATGGCTTTACAAGGTATAATGTCGCGTATGGTTGCTCTTGCTTCAAATCCATTTGCTTATGCTTTTCTAATTCTAATATAATATAAAATATTATTTAAAAATTCGTTTATATATATATATATATATATATATATCGGTGTTTTTTTCTTCAAAAATCAATGTACGTTTAAATATTCACTCACCGAAACAATACATTAAATATTTAACTACTTCATCCGCACGATTTCTCTCAGGAGTTACAACTTTTTCAAAAGCCACTTTTATATCCTTACTTTTTATTTCATTCCAAAATCCCTTTACGGATGTAAAAAAATCGGAAATTGTTAAATAAGAATTTTCAACTGCTTCTGTGATGCTTTAAAAATTACATTTTCAGATAAATATTAACATTACAATGTGTAGAAATAAACTAATTAATAAATGAGATATACAATGAATTAGAGTCTAATAGTGCACGTAAATATTAATGTTAAACAATTTTTAATTATTCTTTAATTCTAGGCTTTAATATATAATTTTATATATTTAGTAGAAAATATACAAACATTGCTTCGGATTCTAATTCAGTCGTTGATATTTTCAGTTTCTTGATTCTGGGCCGAATTATATTATTATCATTATCACTGAGATGTGGCAATTCACCAAGGCTATCAGATATTAATCGCGGCACAATAGATTCAACTTGTTCGTTTTGCGAAATATTTGGAGGAAAGTTAAAGGTAATATTATTTAAAGGTTCGTCGTAATGAGAATCAGTAACCATTTGCTCCTGTGAGCATGACGTATTAAAGTTTATCGTGTTATCATCTCGTTTACTTTCAGTCACTTGAATTCGTTGCAAAATTATTCGCGGTATTTTTCTAATTTTTGGCAACGAATGCATTTCATTGTTGCTCACTATCAAATTTGTATATTCTTGGTCCCTGTCTCCAACTAATAATTATAAAATTATAAAATTAATATAAAATTATTTTGTTTTTATTCGATGATTAATATATTACAAATATTTATTTGATTAATCATACCTTAAGATATAAGCATTACATTGTTACAATTTCATGTTATTACAAATCGTTTTTTCTTGCATGAATTTTGAAAGTAACGAAGATAGTCTAAACGTGGTACGTACCTGTGCATTGACGTAGCATTTGTGTATTATTATTATATAACTTAATGAGACGATTAGACCAGTGTCTCCCATACGTAGAAAAAGCTCTTTTTTTCTTTAATGTTGACGGCATCGTAAATAAAGATTGTGCCGAATCTCGATCGTATAAATGTATTTTTATGAATTTATGTTTCGGCTGAAAGTATTAAAATACCTTTTACAATTACGAATAACAATAATACAGAACCTCAATTATTATATGCTATAGTAACGAACAATATTAATGGAATTTTCTTTTAATATGTTACTGTAGTAACATATTGTATTACATTCTATAGAATTAAATATAGGGGGGAAAAAAAGGAAAAGAAAAAATTAACCTTACATTATTATAATGTATAAAAATACTTTTAATAATACAAAAATTATTTCGATCGATTCTATGAAACATTATATTCATTGCAATTATCGTTTATAAATTTAACATCGCTACAGAAAGATTAGGAAAGAGAGTGAAAAATCTCTTCGGTTCTTTAGCTTTAATATACTAATTTCTTCAAAAGATAATAGATTATTTCAAATACGTGATTTGTTACGCAAAAAATAATAACAATAATTTTAAATTGCATAATGAATTTTAGGATGAGGAGTTATAGCATGTTAAACTAAGAATTTAACATAATTTATTTTTTAATTTAATCACTCTAATATGAATTGTTATGCTTTAATATCTTTAGTTGGTTATTAGCATTGCAAAATGAGGAATAATTATATTTTTTTTTCTAAATTATGTTTTTCAATAGTATATTTTCAATAATTAGTTTCTTTTTTTCTACACAATTGGAATTGTATTTTTTTTATTGAAATAAACTTTTATATATTATTTTAAAATTTAAAAGAATATTGAAGTATACTTATTAATTTGAAAAAAAAAAAAAACGATCATAATTATTGCACTATTAAATATTATGAAATGAAATGTTTTTTTTTTTTTTTTTTTTACAAATAAACGATCTTTATTCATCTTGAGATTATTATTATAATTTTTTTTTTATACATCCTTTTTCATTATAAAATTGCCTATTACGCCAACTTCCCATTTTAGTGTACGAAGAAAATGTAATGATTTATGTTAACGTAATTTTCAAAGATTGCGTCGCAATAATGTATCGATTATCAATATTTAACATAAAAATATATGATTTATAAAGTACTTGTCACTTTAAATTGTTATTGAAGCAATGAAATTAATAGCTGCTAGTACACTTTCCTTATGTACTACTTATACTTACATCAATAAAGTTTCTCAATAGTGCATTGTTAACAAGCAAAAACCTATAAGCTATTTAAAATTTATTAGCAGCACGATAAGGACAAGGATTTTATATAAATAAATTAAGATTACGGTGACTATAAACTCGGCAATGCGGGCCTCCTTGTTAGCATATTGGTTTATCAAAAATGGAAGATTTTTGGATTGAGTTGGAACGTGTCGATTTCCACGCGGCCAAGGGATATTGTTAGAACTTCCACTGTTTAAGTTTTCATTTAAGTCTAGTACATAGTTCAGAACTTTACGATACGGGTTTGTTGATTAGCTGTATCTACGTGAAGCAACGCAGGCACGCAAAACTTTACTCATACGTTATAGTAACGGTTAATCAGTAATTCTCATACTATTACAATTACTATTAATATTCTTTAATTTTTCACAGATATTGAATTATCAAGATTATTTTTATTCCATTGTTACACTCTGAGCTTTTAATATTGTATGTAAATAATTGATGTATCGTATCGATTTGGAAGCATTATTGTTGTTTGTTAAAAACTCTAAAAAATCTAACATTTTTATTGACTATGTATTCAATTAATTATTTTACAATACAATTGAATTACATTACATATACATAATACATACTGTAATTTTTTATTAACTTTTTATTATCTGAAAATTTAAGATTTGCTATTGGAATATAATCGATATAAAAAAAAAAAAAAAAAAAAAAAAAAAAAAAAAAAAAAAAAAATTAATTACTGTATAATCGATGTGAATATTTGTTTTTAAGCACGTATACGTAATTATTTGTATAATAATATTTTAATGTTTAAGGGCTGCTTTAGTTATACCTCTGGATTTGCATTTTAAACAACTTACTTTTGTAGAAGCATTGATATTTAATTTCGTCGATAGGTCGATTTGCCTTATTATATCAATAATTATTTTATTTCTATGACTAGAAACTTCTCGTGGTATTGGAATTTCATTATTTCTTAAAGTAGATCCACTTATATTAGAAATTGAAGGCATTTCATATTCTAGAGTAAAAAAAGAAGAAAAAATTAATATTCCTATATGTGTACAAAAATATATCCAAGCGTAAATGTATCATTATCATCATTATCATTAGAATTTATTTTTATCGTCGCTATTAGTATTAATTATCAATGAAGAGAAAGAAAAAATACTAGGAGATTATAAGAATTAAACAATTCAGTCATGCATATTATAATAAATATGTGTGATACATGTTACAATATGCAAGTAAAAATAAAAAGCATAACAATTTTGTGTGATTGAAAGTAGAAAATCGTATAGAAATCAGAAAAATAATAAGTAAGAAAAAAAAATAGATATATATGTGTGTGTGTGCGTGCGTGCGTGCGTGCGTGCGTGCGTGCGTGCGTGCGTGCGTATTAAAAGAAAACAAAAAATAAGTAAATAAATAAATAGAAATACGAAAATTGAAGAAAATTGTGAAAAATGTCTGCCCAAGAGTTGTAGAGAAATATGTATTTTAATGGATTTTAGATGTACATATTATCACGGATGCCACGTTATATAATATTTTTTAAAGTATGATGAGATTATTTTACAGATATAAAAAAGTGGATGAAATCTCGATATGTAATATAGTTCAAATTTCACGTACCAGCGGATGTTTCAAGAGGTAATGCCGGAGTCCCGATATTCTTCAAGAGCGGCTCCATTGATGACGAAACATTTGGCAAAGTAGCCTCCAAAATCGGCTCTGATACTGCCATCATCGAGGAGTTATCGGCCATTGATGGCTCGCAAATTTTTCCTAACGATGGTGACAGTTTTAGATTTAAGGGGTCTTGAATGGATAAATGACGACGCGTTGCTGGTGGAGAATAAGCAGTTTCTGCGCATTCTGTTGATAAACGCAGCACGGACTCGCCTGGCAACCCCTTAGTAAGCATATAAAATGTGTGCAAAAATCAAGGGCTCAACATTACTTTGAAGCACTACGGATTTTACAAAGTCACTTACGTATCCCATTCCTTTAAATATCCCATTATTTAATAAATAGATTCGAAAATACTGAATTTGTTCGTAACGCATATTTACCGGTTTAACGCGATACATTAATGTAAAAATTATAGAGCTAGGACTTATCTTTCTACTTTGAATCGATTAATTTAACGATTCTCGCCATTTGTTCTTCAATTAAAAACAGAAGTTTGTTAAATTATTTATAGCAAGCGTCATACTGCTTTATCCGATAGAATATTTATAATATAATTGTCATTCCTATGTCAGCATTATTTATAGCTAAATGAAATTTGTTTATTTTTATGCTAAAATTTTGCAAAAATGGAGTAACAAATAAATAGGACAACAATTTTATTTTTTTTTTTTGCTCTTCATCGTACAACTAAATCCTGTTATTCAGTTTCGTGTTTATTTTGTAATATTTTAAAAAGAAACAAAAACAAAAACAAAGAAACAAAAACAAAAACAAAAACAAAGAAACAAAAAAATGGTTATAACGCGAACTGGTTACATTCGATTTCAAATGACCTGAACCACGGAATGTAGATTTATTGCGTTTATCACATTGATTTTTAACAGTTTGTAAAATAATATCTTCAATTGCACGGCATATTTGATAATCACAAATCACGAATTTTTTAAATTTAGAACTCTAGTTTAACGATATAGTGATCCCACAATAACCACACGTGCCTGGCATACATGACGACATATGGATATTCACGTACATTGTTGGTTGTCGAAATGACGCATACTGAGGAATAATCGTGCCCGGAAGAGACTATTCGTATTTCAAGTTCTCAAAGGTACTAGAAGTCATTAAAAAAAAAAAAAAAAAAAAAAAAAAAAAAAAAAAAAAAAAAAAAAAAAAGTCCAAGCGGCATTTTAACTCGGAGCTGTTTAATTGATTTTTTAACATCCTCCGGACTCTATCACCTACGCTCTCGTATCATATTCAATTTTATGTGCCCATGTCACAATGCTCGATTAATTATTTTAATAATAATAATAATAATAATAATAATAATAATAATAATCATAATAATAATAATAATAACAATAATAATAATAATAATAATAATAATAATAATAATAATAATAATAATAGTAGTACGTAAGAGTAGAAGTTTTGTCCGGCGCTGAAGAAGCTCAAGCAGCGAAAATAGCAAACATACATTAGCAGAAACAGAGCGTACGTAATGCTAATTAAAAAAATTTTAAAAAACTCTACTCTCTAAAATACTGCCAATAAATGCGCGTGTGCGTGTACCGTGCTCTAAAGTGTGCACTAAATGACGCGGTGACGTCATTGCTTGCTAGTAACGCACTGTGCGTTTGCACGTGCTATTTGGTATGCCTATACCCATACATGAGCCCGCGAGCGCGCACGCACATTGCACGCATGTGGCCGTTGTACGCTTATCGCGCCTTCGCGTTATCTGAGTGAAAATAAAAAATAAAAATCCGGAAACTAATTCAGGAAATAGTAACGACGACTTTAATAATGACATTACAGATTTTTTTTTGCACGTGAATATTTACATAATGCAAAAACATGTGCCTTCGTTTTGGAATTTTACATTGGTATTTCATCAATCTGACAAGTGCCCCGATCTATCAATTATCAACTCATTCTTTCAAATTACCTTGGATAAGTATTTAGTTATACGTGTAGATCTATGATACTGAGTGCTTGCAAACGTAAACATTTATTACAATAAAATGCTATATACGTCTATCTATTATACGTAAGATTAAATTTTTACAAGAAATAATATAAATTAATGATGCGATATGAATGTAATTTTAATTATTTTTAATAAATAAAATTAAAAAAATATATTTAAGTTTGTATTAAAAAGCGATTCTTTTTTTTTATTTATTTTTCTTTTTGTTTTTGTTCATATATATATATATATATATATATATATATATATGATACTTACGTATTTTGGGGCACGTAGATTTACAGGTGTTTTCAAAAGTTCTTCAGATGCTCTCTCTTGCGTGTTTTTGTATTGTAAATGTTGTTCCTTATCGACTGTTTTACGTATTGTAACATTAAATACTTTAAAACAGATTTATTCTAAAGTTAGTATGCGAAATGAAATGTACAAAATATACTAACCTAGTGGTTGCGCAATAACTTCATTTGATGGGGTTTTTTTATGAAGTAGATTAGAATTTCTTGATTTTAAACTTGTATTCTTATTGGACCTATCAATAACGAAACATCTAATAGAAAATTATAAAGAGTTTTTACTCCAAAAGTATAAAATATTATCGCTTTATTTTAATTTATTAATTTATCATTCGAAAAATTATGTACAATTTTGCTGTACAAAATTTCTTATCCATACTATTATTAACTACAACACATGTGTGTGTGTGTGTGTATATATATATATATATATATATATATATATATATATATATATATATATATGATATAAGAAATGGCAGGATTAGAACTATAATAACGTTTTATGAATTTAAATTCAGTAATCATAAATATACAATAAAGAAATACATTTCAAAAAAATTAGTAGTCATAATTTTCCTTTTATTTGAATTTCTAATTTATAGATAATATAATTCTTATAATGTATTATTTCAATATTTGAAATATCGGCACTTCATTTGGTCTTAAGTAATTTTAAATTCAAAGTTTTTTTAATTTGTATCGTTGTTAAAAAAAAAAAAATTGTTTTCATAAATATATTCAATTTTAATAGCTTTCAATTACACGAAAAATTGCAGTATAAATGATGTTAAGATTCAATCGATTATTCATTCGTCCATATTTTTAACTCGAATTTATTAATTTGGTATCTACAACATTGTTTACCTCATTATTTCTTTTTGTAATTGATTCATTATTTCATCCATATTTTCCTCATTTCCTAACACACCAAAACAAAATTCAGAGTCCTGGATATAAGAGAAAAAAAAAATGTATCAAGTTTATTATTTTTATTTCAATAATACCATTGTATTTTTCATTAATTAAGAATAATGATAATTTAATATAAGAACACACGGATTTTTTACGAGGACAGTCTATTTCCGTAATTAGGTGAATATCTTCAGGAAGATTTTGTGGAAATACTTTTTGAATGTTGATTTCTTGTAGCGTTTCCGACAACAATTTATCAACAGTTTTTTCATTATTTTTTCTGAAAAAATATATGAAGCACATAGATTTTAACATTTGCGCTATTCAATTGCGTCTTAGAAATTAATTTTTTAATGCTCACTTATTCCGCTTATTAATTAATTTGTTTTTTGTTTTTATATCTTGAGATAATTCGAAAGATAAAAGCATATTGCAGAGTAAATTTTCACAATATACTGGAAATAAATTTTGTTGCATTATGCCAAAAATATGTATTTTCTTTTCGAACGACAATTATACTCATTATGATTATAAAAAATGCTTATTGATTACCTTCCACTATTAAAATTTGCTTCTTAAAGATTCTCAATACACCGTACATTAATTGTGAAGATATGTAAAGGTTAAACGAAGCTTTACGGTCATTATTAAGGAATCCATTTATAATATTGTTACTAAAACAAATAATAAAGTACCTATTGTATAATATATATTAAATCTTTACACCAATATTACTGTCCATAGTGTATTTGTGATGGTGAAAAATAAATTCTTAAATTGAAATATTAAATTTTATGTTCGACTAATAGAACTTCTAAATTTTAATATAAATATGATTCATTTTATATGGAATTTAATTGTTAGCGTCTTTGATAATAAAATAAAATTCCTATTAAAAAAATGAAATATAAGTATAACAAACATAAGTGTCCTATTGCCATATAATAAATTATAATATTTAGACGGTTTTAATTGTTAAAAATAATTTTTTAATTCTCAATCAAGTCTTTAATATTTATATAATTCACTTTATACATATTGGATTAAATATTATTTTAGTTATAAAGAATTTATTCATGTTATTGGTTAAAATTAGTGGTACGGACAATTTATTGTTGCTCGAAGTGATTATACTGAATCATTAGTTGTAAAATGTAAGAAACAAATTTACTTATTAAAGTGAGAAATAACAATTATTGATGTGTATGAATTTCAACTTGTCGGAAAATCTTTTTTATTAAAAATATACTATTGGATGTCAATATACTTTCTATTAACTACTTTAATCATTAACATTAAATAATAGTATTTATCTTATAGAAACAAATCGATTTAATGCAGTAAATTATTTTTTTATTATTTTTTTTTTCTTCTTAACAGTATTCCACTCTTTTATTTATTTATTACATTATTTAACGAATGAATTTATTAGAATCATTATCACTACATTTAACTAATAATAAGTTTATTATACCAAAGAGCTACAATATCAATTGCATTAATTTGTTCTTCTGATAGTTTTTTACTATCAACTTTATGAAATTTTCTCAATGTTGCTATGAACCAACATATTTGTAATGGCTCTTTATTTTCATTTTTCAGAGAATGAAATAATTGTACGGGATAAACCATCTGTAAATGAATTTTAATGATTATAAGTTTGTAGAAGAATTTTACTATTTATATTACATAAATAGTTCGATAAGATTAAAATATATCATTTTACATAATTTTAACTACATATACTTAACTGTAAATTTGAATTTAAAGTGATACAGACGAGTACAAAATCAAATATTTTCATAAATCTGTCGAATAGTACGAAGATAAATGTAATATAATTTGCATAAGAGTCCAATGAATTTGAGAGAAGCAAATCAAAAATTCTATTAACAATCCGGTAAAATTATTATTATTCTTACTATGTAAATGTTCTTACTATGTAAATGTTCTTACTACGTAACAAATGTTTACGATAGGAATAGATTTTATTATATATTTAATAAAATTTATTAAAAAATTGTAAACAAAAGGTGTCTAATTTTTCAGCTTTTATTTTATTTAATATAAAAATTTACAAACAATCATATTCTATTAAAAATTTCAAATATTGTCTCATTGATTCTAATCTATTATTACTGTTATTATTATTGATATTAATATTATTACAGTAATTGTTGCTATCGTTGTTTTTAACATCGATTATTAATATGCCAATATATTAATAAACTAATATAACTGTACGTATATGCCCATTGTATAATGAATTTAATGATCAGAATTATAAAATTTAAATATTTCGACAACTTTTAATTCGCGCTATGGCACTTACATGCTTCAAAACTATCTATAATAATCAAAATTAAATAATATTTCGACCCTATAAATGAAATGAATTATTTATAATTGATCCTTATAATTGGCTGTAAAAAATACCACCTAGTCAAATTATGTATGAATTTTCAGAACAAAAACAATTTATCTTTATAGCTTAATCGCAAGAACTAACTAATTGAACTCTAGAAGTGTTTTCCAAAAATATCGATAAATCTGAACAATATGGGAATTTGTAATTTAATTGTAATTAGCACATTAGATAGAATTCATTGATTAGAACAGAAATTTAAAATAATTTCAAGTAAGCTCTTTGAATCAAACTGTGCTTGACTTTATACAAGATTTCTTTTTTCAAACAGATTGATGAAAGTTTTTCTTGCATATTGTGCTGCCACCTATGAATCTGTCTTTATAGCATCGTAGATAATTCAGAATTTTACAACAATCGTCCTTGTTATACAAGACCATGTGTTGCCATTTCATGTACGTTACTAATTTCAAATGAATTGTTCGTTTAGCTTTAATATTCGAAATGCTAGGACAGGACAAATCATATGATAAGCGATAAAATTAGGAAATACATACTAAAGGATTAGCTATTTGAAACATTTTATTTTTCTCTTTATAATACTGATTCTACAATTACCGTCGTTTGAGATGTACAGTTGTTGGGGGAAAAAAAAAAGAAAAAAAAAGAAAAAAAAGAAAAAAAAGGAAAAAAAAATAACGGTCGAATTAAAACTTGAAAAAAATATCAACAAATCTCATATAAATAATGTATCCCCATTATAGTCTATTTTTATTCAATATTTTTATTTAAAATTAATAATAGTACCAATTATTTCTAATATCATACTTATAATTAAACAATTGATTAAATAATTTAAGTACGAAATTGAGATAATTGGTAAAAATTTTAAATTCTAAACGTTTAGGAATAAAAAATGTTAAATTAATGTAATTATTCTTTTTAATTTTTATGTGAAACGTAAAATAAAAGTGACAAATCTTTGTATTTATAAAAAAATATTTATAAAAAAAGAAAATCTAAAAAACATAAGCAATAGTATAATGGTCGTATATGTTAAGGTGTAAAATTGGAATAAAAAGATAAATATTTCATTGCAATATTGAATATAAATATTTTTAATTAAAATTAGATTTTTCAAAAGTGCTAAAATTGAAAATTGAATTTTTTTTTTTTTCTTTTTTTTTTGAAAGCAAGTAGTAGTTAAAATGTATTTACTATACTCATACGTATTAAAAGTGATAATGAGGAACAAAAAGGCAAAAACACAAAAACAAATGTTAATCGAAGTCGTCGCGTGCGTATACAATTTATTTATATAAACGTTTAATTTTTCACATTATATTAATTACCATATGTATTAGTTTTTCTAAAATAGTCATAAACATTGGAAATTTATAAGTATCGTTATTTTACTTTATACATCATTATTTGCGTATCGATGATTATTGAGTAAATAATATCACTCTATGGATATTTGACAATATTACTTTAACAATATATTTTTTCTAAAAGAATTATTATAAAAGAAAATTTGCTTATGAAAGAATAGAAAGAAATATAATGTTTATATAAATTGCTCGTTTCGATGATAATTGAAATTATAATTCGTCATTTTAATTTATTATTTGTACTTGGAAATTAAGAGATACGTTATTGTATTTTGTATAAATAAAATTTTGTTGTTTTGGAAAAATTGTTTTCCATCGAAAAAATTATACATTTATCTAAATTGAGATTCTTGTCATTTTATAAAGAGTAGTAGTGTGTGCATTTAAACATATTTAATATTTTTTAAATGCTTTGACAAAGTTAAGTGATAATTTAAAAAAATGCATATAATATTTCTATTGTCGATTCTGCGATTAATTTTACGAAATTCTTTTATTTACATTTTGAAAATGACGTTTGCTAAGGGCTTTTTCTTCGTTTCCTGTTCATCTTCAATATTGCGTGTAATATAATTTGTTTATCATTTTAAGAACAATTGCAAATATCTAATGCTTATACATGGGCAATAAGAATTTATAAGTATGATAAATATTTATATATAATTTCTTATACTTACCAATCGATTTTTTTTTTTATATATAATTTTTGCCAGTTTAAATGTACCTTAGATTTTTATAATAATTATTTTCTACATATATAGTATATAAATAAATTACTTGAAATTGGTAATCGAACGAGTCTTATTATTTAAGATAAAAAATAACGTTCTTTATTAAATAATAATAATAATAATAATGATCCTTATTCTTGCATGTTTGTATTTGTGCTGTTGTTATCAAGAATAATTTTTTAAACGTTTTAATTCACTCTCGATAGATTATTATCGTTATTTATATTTGCACCAAATCACTATTATTACGTAGTCTCGTAGATTATAAGATAATCAAATTTTATTATTTAATATCGTATGTTTTGTAAGCCAATCGCAATAATTATAATTAATTTTAATCGCGCGTGCATGTGTATGAATACATCTGCAGAGAGAGAGAGAGAGAGAGTGTGAGAGAGAGAGAGAGAGAGAGAGAGAGAGAGAGTGAGCGAGAGCGAATAAGATTTGCCTCTTATAAAGAACTGGCTTTTATCTTGATTAATATATATTAGGAAAACATGCATCATACGTAATATTAAAAATCTCTTTTATCGTAGAAATATGTAAAATCAAAATTCTTATTTAATTTCTATTAAGTCTTCAATTTTATAATCAATCAAACGATCTATCCGACAACTTAATATACTACTTTCGAACAAGCTATTGAATTTTAAAATTCAAAAATATCAACAGTCTCGGTGCACCGACAAATAGAACATTTTTTATTTTTCAAAATTTTCACCATCTTTGGGTTTGACGCCGCCGCCGCCGCCGTCACTCCCCCCCCCCCCAACCCCCACCCCACCACGCCCCACACGACATCCCACCCCGCCCACTCCATGGGTAAAGCTTACGCTCGGCACAAATCCTATTTGAACACCAGCGGTAACAAAGTATTAAAGCAATAAACCGCTGCTTTTGAATAATCTTCATGTCGCTTTTCACTAAACAAAGCAATGCGCATAAAGCAAAACGCGCTTCCCCCAACGGAGGCCATGGTATTCCACAAATATTCTCCATCCTCCTCGTTCAGCTTGCGATTGACGTACATAGTGGTAAGCGTGACCGTTAAAGTGTCAAACGGTCATGCTCAGTCGGCAACGTCAGCTTTTAAGCACATTTTCGGCAGGTCTAGTTTACGCGGAAAGCAAACACTGCAACGGTGGAGCACATTTGCCTTGGATAGGGAGACGCGCGCATGTGTGTAGTTTAATCATGAAGCAGAAGAAGTTTAACCGCTGAGGAAGGTTCGAATCGACGATCGTGTTTGACCCTGGTCCTGAATCCAGGTTAATTAATTAGGCCGTTATTTCCCTTGCGGTAACGGCAGGTACGCACGTCTGACTCAGGTTATTCTTCGACTCTGCGCTCAATCGACCAAGTTGGCGCATAGGTTAATTAGCGAAGGTCGAGAAGAAGTCGGGTGAACGAGGTCAGCATGGACCCGAGCAGCGTTGAGATGAATCCCGACGAGGATGACTATTACGCGTTGTTCAACATCTCGAAGACTGTAAGTTGATGGCGATAAATGGTTAGATCGTTCCTTATTGTTATTACCTACCTCGTGTGCCGTTCATGCGGGTGAAATGTCGTCGAAAGACATTGATCTTTTTAACAAGACAGCGGGAAAAAACCGTGTCTTATATCAGATTTCTATTCACTGCCTGCACACTTCCCAGATATTTCATTGGGTTTCCGATCGCCGACGTAATGGCACGACTTTGCTCACAGTATACCAATTCTGTTCGGTTATCTCCTGCCCTAGGTATTCACAACATTTTTTTCTCATTTTTCATGATTTTGCACGATGCCTGTGTTATGAATTGCCGTTAAGTGCGACCAGATCAAAGGGTAGTTGTTACATGACATTGTGATGAAATTTATGAAATACTTTGCATAAGGGATAGCAGCCCCTTATTTAAAGTAAATATGGGTTTTATTTTTTTTTGTTAATGTTTAGAGAAACACGCACGAATCGCATTAAAGCAATTATTTTGCCGTTTAATTATTGTTTTTAACAATTTATATAGTCCTAATGGTCAGAGATTTTATTTTTATTTTATTAAGCATCTAACTGCGATAAATAGTTTAGAATAGTTTATAATTTTAATCGTTCGATTACTGTGTATATACAACAAATTATTTCAAATATTTGTAGTTGTTGTACGATTGTTATGAAAGCCATAAGGATCAAGTGTTAATTAATATTGGAATTTGCATCAGGTATCGCATTGATACCAAGACATTTTATATATTTTGTATAACTAATATTTGTCATAATGACTTAATAAGAATAAATTATAATAAGTCATTTGCTTTTAAGATCCTCGTATCGATACATTTTTACTTTTATAATTTTATTTTTTATTTTCATTTTTATGAACTAGTGCTGATGTATTTCAGGCAACGCAAGAAGAAATTACCAATGCCTATCGAAGACTTAGTAAGTCTTATCATCCCGACAAACACATGGATCCTCATCTCAAAAAAGATGCCGAAATACTTTTTAGCCGAATAAATAAAGTTTACGAAGGTAGGTACAAGTTATATTTACTTGAAATTCTAATGTTCGATATGATTCAAAGTCATTTTATTATTGTTATCGATGCCAGTGTATCAAGTATTTTTATCGCATTTTTATTTGTAAAGTTAAAATTCAAAGCCACGCTAGTTAATGTACGTTTTTTCTATGCTTTTTTCATGCTAATGAAATTAGCTTCTTCAATATGTATTTAAGTTTGTTGAAAATTACACGTATATTTATATTGTTAAAGAATTAAAATTTGTTAATATTAATTAATTCTCTCTATTTTAGTATTAAATAATCCAAATAAAAGAGCAGTTTACGACACTATTGGTGTTCAAGGCTTGGAATCCAATGACTGGGAACTTGTCTTGAGAACGAAAAATCCCCAGGAAGTATTGAAAGCATATGAGAAACTTCAATTAGATAAGGAAGAACAGAAACAATTACAGAAAGCTAATCCAAAAGGCACTTTTGGTGTTAATATCAATGCTACAGATCTATTTACTACTTATCCAGTTGATTACGATGGGTTTGTAATAATTAATTTTACAAAAATTCTCTCAAGAGTCGTCTTTAATAATAATGGCAAAAAATTTGATTACATTTGTAAATTGTACAACTAATATATCACAGTGGTAGAATAATCCACTATATCGTAATTTCTATATATCAAAAAATATAACGTGTAATACATAGTAATTGCATTCTTGACAATTTGCACATGTACGCATACTACAATTACGTTTCCTAAATATCTAAATTTCTTAACTTTTAGAGCCAATGTTTTGTCTTCTATCGAAGTTAGTGGCATGACATTTACACAATCCGTTGAAACACCGTTAACGCAAAAGAATACAGCTGTGCTTGGTGGAGAACTGTCCGTTAAAAATGGCGTTGGTACGGGTGCAATTAATGTAGCTTTCAAACGCCTTATATCACCGATGGCTTGGATGGAAGTGGAATTATCAGCAGGTAGTTGGCCGGGCCTAACATTTAAAGGTTACAAAAAATTGTCAAAGAGGATACATTTTAGTGGCGATGTTCCTATAAAATTTACCCCTAAAGGAATCGATCTTTCCTTCGCTGGATGTAAGTAACTTTATGCGACATAAATCCTTTCATTAATTGCCATTATTTTTAAATTTATCCTTAAGGAGCTAATGAGTTAGCTCAAAGACAAAATATCGTTAAGTATCAAGCTGGTCGTTCAATTTCTAGCCCTCTCAATGGAATTGAACAAACGTACCGTGGGTTATTTAACATACAAGACAGGATTACACAGTAGCATGAGTACATCGATTATAACGAGTACAGAAAATTCACAAACTATTATTACAATAGAATTTTCACAATTACAATCGTTCATCAGTCTGCATCACGAGCACATGTTCTTACAAAAAAAATTAGGACTTCTAGGCTATGTACAGTAAGTATTCTAATACAGTAAAATATGTAAATCAATTAGAGCATTCCTTCCATTCGCAGCGAATATTGCATCTGCATTTGAAATAAAAAAAATTGTATTATTTAACAATTTTGAAAGATTTTTTTTTCGTTTTCTTTTTCTTTTTCTTTATCTTTTCCTTGTAAATTGTAAAACAGAAGCTGCGCTTCTCACAAAATAAATGACAAGTAGCTGTAAAGAATACATGGTGAACGAGTTATTTAAGGTATGCCGAAAAATCTCACGATTATTTAACGAATGGCCTTGTTGTCGTCCAGGATCGGTAGTTCCAGCTGGACAATGGAATACGGGGTAAAGAAGAAGCTATCGCGCAACACCGCCCTCTCGACGGTCGTCTGCATGGACTCGATGATGGGTGTAAGTTTGCGCATAAAGCTAAAGCGCGCCTACCAGATCTATAGATTCTCCATTGCCCTGAGCGACGAGGTTATGCCCGCGCCCATCTTCTACGGGACTATCGTGCCCATGATGGGCTGGGTGCTGTTCAAGAACTTCGTAATGGAACCGTTGCTTCAGCAGCGCAAGAAGCGGGACAAAGAGCAGCGCCGGAAGGAGGAAGCGGAACAGTGGCTGCAAAAGAAGAAGGAGGCAAAAATGGCCATTGACCTTATGAGCGTCACTTGCAGTAGGATCCGGGCGACCGAGGAAGCCAAGCGCGGCCTCGTCATTGTTAAGGCTGTGTACGGCAGGTTCATCTACGACGACGAGAAGACGAGGCATAGCGAGAACTTCAACTCATTTAGGAACGAAATCATCGATGTTACGATACCCTTGCAGTGCCTCGTCAAAGAATCGAATCTCGTGTTGCACAAGGGGTCGAAGGTAAGATAGCACATATTTACTCGATGGCTCGAGCGGTCGTTATCTCATTCGTGAGATAAACAAGGGTTTTTCAATCGAGTCCTGTTTGGTAAGCGCAGAGTGAATAGCTAAACCGGCATGGAATTAATTTAAATTGTTGGATAAGTTGGCAAAGTGCTGGGTGTACATTAATAGCTTAACCTGTGGTAAATACAATGTTGAAAAAACTTCTTCTTCTTCTTCTTCATCATCATCATTATTTATTGTAAGATTTTGTGTAAATTATGTAGAGGTGTTGACGAAGGTCAGGCAGTTGTACGTGAAATCAATAGATCATTTTATGAAATCAAAATAATAACGAATTTATATTTAAATTTAAGATACGATGGTCTAATCCGTTATCTTATTTAAAATTGTGGTGTATTATCGAAGAAGCAGTCCTCGTCAGAGCATGGAAATTAATAATAATTGGAATAATAATAAATGGTTCACTATAAATTGTGCGTTAAATTTATAAGTTTCTCTTACTTATCTTATGACTTCATTCGATTGCAGTTACTTTTTTAATTAAAGGCATTCGAACAATAATACATAATGCAACGTTACATTGGATGATTGTTTAGTAAAGTTAAATTGTATTTATTATTAAGATTAAAAATCATTTGTAAGACGTTGAGATTTATTAATTTTGTTGCAGAGTCATTTAACAGGATTCTATGACCCCTGCATTGGAGAAGAAAAATTTCTAGTCATACAATACTTGTTTCGTATGAACACACACGAGTGTATGGTAAAAGATAACGAGCCTCTCAGTATACCTAAAGAATGTTAGTAACATTATTATTGTCCTTTGAATATTTAAATATTTCCATATAGTTTGAACAAAGCGAGAAAAAGAATTGAAATTTATTTTATTGTTTTTAAAAGAGCATTAAAAGAACATTTTCTATACTAGTGTCGTTATGGTAATTTCAAAATGGACTGAATTTTAAAAAGAATTATTTATATTTTGTAGCTTGAAAATGTAATTTCAATAACCAACTTGTTAACTATTTATATATATGTGTCCTTTATTTTTTTTTTTTTTTTTTTTTTTTTTTTTTTTTTTTTTTTTTTTTTATCAACTTAATAATAATTAATGAAATATTTTTTATTTTTTATTTTCAGGCCATCGTGTAATATCTACATGATGGGATTAGGCTACTAGAGAAACATTATAGGAATAGATTGTTTGATGTATAGATAAAAGTCATTGGAAGTTGGCTTATTCCAAACGGTCGATTCCTAAAAAAAAATGGCTACTAATAAACATCGACAGTTTATTAGATACAACATTTTTTAACAACAATAGTGTCCCTGGAGTTATTAGAATTTTGAGAAAGGAGCCGTAAAAATGATTTTTAACCAAATTATTCAACTTCAATTTTTAAACTGTAAAATTGATTATAGTAAATTGAGCATAACATGTTTCTATCAAATATTATCGAATCAATTTTATGAATTATGAATTATTTATGACTTGAGATTGCTAAAAGAAAACTGTGAGAATAAATTATTATCGTTAATTTTTATAAATTCTGTAATGTATATTACTAAATTTGTTTAATTATTAAATTACTTTAAAATTACGTAGCACATAATCATTATAAATGAATGTTAAAAAGAAAAAAAGAAAAACAGAAAGAAAAAACAAGATGATAAAGAATTGAAATGTATTTGTACGATGTAAATGTACGATCCTTTCGGACATAAAGAATTAATTTAGTATTTTTATAATATACTAAGGTATTTGAGATACGTTGGTACATTGTATTATCATCGTTAGTAATTGAAGTAGCCGAATGTTTTTTATAATTACAAAAGAATAAAGATTCTTTCTGCGCGATACACGAATGCAAAAGCTTACCCATATTTTTAAAATAATAATTGATTCTTTCACTTTATTAAATCACTTCTCTCCTGTATGGTCATAATTTACTTTTAATTAGCTCTTACGACAGTACTGTGTAAAAGTAAACTTTTTAATGTATCGTGAGATTTAATAGCTCTATAAAACAATATGTTCTTCACAAACCAGACCAAAGTAATCCAAGTCAGTTGTAATGTTTACCACCTCGTGTTGGAAAATAATAATGTAATTTTAATTATTAGACAATAAAACAAAAATTTTTAAAAAAAAATTATTTTCACAAAACTGTACAAATTGTATTCAATATTAAAGCATCTAATTGAATTAAACTAAGTATTGTAATATAAAATTTGATGAGTAATTTTAAGTAATTTAGGAATAATGTATAAATTTATTTCGTATTTGATAATTAAATAAAACGATCTTTGGTTTCAAAACAATACAATTATTATTATTTCTTTTACTTTTATTTGCGACCAGACAAATGTTACATCATATTTCACTTAATGAGTAAGGCAGAGATAACGGACTGTTGATAACAAATTGATTAAGTACTATTTAGTTCCTGCAAATAGTTGTCGCTATTTTACGATTAATTAAATTAACATTATAGCCAGCATCGAAATGATTTTATGATGAAACTGATTAATGCAGAAATCCAATGGTCAATTGTTATCGATGCACATGTATTCAGTTATAAAGGCACTTGGATTCTCAGCTTTTTGATAAGCATTATCAATCGCTCCGAGTTCTTTGTCTTTAATGTGAGTGTTGGATAGCGCTGTCCACGTGCTATCATTTTCTAGTCTAAAAGACCCTTTATAAGTCTGTTGTGGATAGAAATCGCTCCATTCCTGAAACAAAATATTTTTCACATCACTTCATATCGTTAAATTGTAGCGTCGACTATGCTGATTTACAACTGGATATTGTGAGGACAAAATGCTTTAAGAATTAGAAAATGATATATTGCTTATAAAAAAATGTAATTAATTACTGCGACATATCGATGCAATAAAATTAAATTTAATTTGTGAAAAAAAATCAATGGCCGGTCTATATTATTTGGAATACTTTGGAATCTCATTTATTGAGAAATTGCTTTATGCGCAGAAAAGCTTTGGAAATTGATTTTTTTCACAAATTAAATTAATCTAATTTCTGTTATTAATATTATCATGTTTGTCAGCAAGCATATATGTATATATATTTAATTAAAACAACATAAGCACGCAGAAATAGCAACTTTAAATTCTATAGTAACAAACAGATTATTATCTGTGAATTATTGTTCATAAAAATTCACGCACGTCAATGCACATAATTAAGGAAGGAAGGATTAAAAAAAATGTAATAAATTAATAACCTCTGGACTAAGCATTGAAAAATACAACTCTCCAGATTCTCGTTGAAAAAGATGATAAATTTTGCCAGGTTGTTTGGTAAAATTGCACGCTACACGATGCATAAAAGTATTCCTTTTCGCTTCTAAGAGTATTTGCTCTGCCTGTTTGCGTAAAAAACGCATTTGTTCTGCGATTACTTGTAACTTGGAGCATGAATTAGTTTTTAAAAACTTATCAGCCTAAAAGTTAAATAAACAATCTTGAATTTTTTTTTTTTTTTTTTTTTTTCTTTTAATAAATCATTTATGCATTGGCGTACCAGTTCAATTTCTTTGGCAATTTCTGCCGCATTATTCAGAGACTTTAAACGACGAGCTTCTGCCTGGAGAACGTCAATTTCTTGCGTTGAACGTCTGTCTATTGAAGGAACTAACGTTAAGAGACAAACAAAAACAAAACATGAAAAACTACTGAAACACACATTTATTTAAACATTTAAATAGTCGATTGCACTTCTTCTTATAATTCATTAATTTATATCATAGGACTAGAAATTATTTATAAAAATACTTAAAAAAAAGATCTGTGTCTTAATTGCCTTTTTTCTAATTCTATTCTGCAAATGTATTTGCTCGTTTAACGTAACGAATATCTTTATAACGACAGTTTGTTTTAATATAAATTATAACATATAAATTCTATGCGAGCAACATTATGAATGAAATTAATTAATTTACCTTTATTTGGAATACAATTGACAATATCCATTGCCGTTGTATTTAAAGGGCGTTTCAAAGGCTTGAAAATCATAAATATAAAATTATTTATATTTATAATATAGCTTTGACGCGAATAAAATAAAAAAAAAAAATAATAATAATAAATAAATAAAAATTCAAATCAACAAACTCCTATTAAAATATACAACTTTAATGGCTGTAAACGATAAGGCAACATAACCTATATTACATGAAGAGACACAAACTTTACATCAATGAGAAGATTCTAATTTTTATTGAAAACTTATCAGCAAATGTTAAAAACACGCTTCTCTATTTATCACATTATCAATAAACTGTCACGGGAACAAAGATTCCCGTAATCTGTCACTTCGTTCTAAACAACGTTACATCTTCATGATTTCATCATTATTATTAAGAATTTTTTTATTTTTTAATATTTTTCATTGACAATTTCGATTATTCATCCACGATTCGTTCAGCCAAATTATTTATAAATAATGAACGTAGGCGACGGTAGATAGGAGAATTCCGATTAAAAAGAAACTCGGGGTAGTAGGGGCCATCGCTTAATGAATTGTTAAAGCTTGTGAAAATGCTTACTTTTGCAAATTTCCCATCACGTGCTGTTATATATATATATATATATATATATATATATATATATATATATATATATATATATATCAAGCGTTTTATTACTTGCTATCACGTATTATCACTTTCGTTACTTTGAGCAATTTTCTGTTCCTTTACTTTATAGCAAATTGAATTGAATTGTTGGTTGATGCTTGGGATAAACTTTCCTTTGGTTGAGAAAATGATCGTATGAACAGTATAGACGATAAATTCGCGCGATTAATAATGAAAATGTCCAGTTTGAAATTCTATATGATCGTCTGTCAATGCATCTATGCAATTATTATTGTTTAATAAAATTTATAGGCTCGACGAAGGTTGGGAATAACATATACTCTACGCGCGATAACGTATTCTCCATTACATGATAATTTTGTATATTTTAAAATAAAAATATTTTAATAATGGCTTTCATTAGAATGTCGAATGATTCTTGATTAAATTAAGCGTAAAAAATATTGTTTTTTTTCTCTTCTTTTTTCTTTTTCTTTTTCTTTTTTTTATTGCAATAATGTGATCGTCGCTCGTTTAGATGCACATTGTGCATACTTATAAGGGGAGAATAGATTTTGAAATTTAAAATTAACAAAACAAGAGATAAGATCGGCAGAAATTTGTTTTGCATTAAGCGATTAGCGAATAAACAATCTGACGATTAACGTTGATTTATTTATCGAGAAGCGAGGAAAACTAAATTTGGCCATTTGCGAAGAAGCGATTCGCAAGAGCATTCCAATAAATGCCTACGGCTTGAGATTGATTTAGATCGATTAAGTTCGCGTGCGCATCGATGATTAATAATGCAATTAAACGCTCGCAACTATTAATTAATTAATCTTTTAATGTGTTAAATAGGAATTCGGTTGGTTGTCTGATGACGCGATGAGGCAGCGATTAAGGGGTGACTAGGAGAGTACCGAGTACCGAGTACCGAGTAGTGAAAAGTGACGGCACGCGCCGTTAAAAAAAAAAAATAGTAATAATAATAATAATAATAATAATAATAATAATAATAATAACTAATCCCCCATAGACAAGTGAAATGTTTGAAATGGGATTGGTAATGAAAGTTTTGAAAAGTTGCATAGTCCTTTCAATTGATAATATGATCGCGAAGCATATCGGCACGGCACAGTTGCACAAGTCCATCATTGACCTGACCTGATAATATCCTCCATATCAACGAGTAGTGCATAAAGCATTAATTACAAACTTTAAACTATTAATTTTGTGTAAAGTTTAAGTATACTTGTATTAATGCTTCTTGATGGGTTCGATAATTTTTTCTTCTTTTTTGTTTGTTTTTACATAATTACCTCCGTTGGATTTACTTTACGACGATCAATTTTATATTTTATAATTTACGCTTGGAATGCAATGCCAATGTTAACGAGGAAGGAATACATCGGCTCTATGGTTGTCAAAGTAGACGAATGGGCCATTTATTGGTATTTAATGTCGCTGGCTTAACTAGGCAACTCAATCGACCATTTTTAGGCTGCGACTATTAAAAACAATATTATCTCAATTATGTTGTTGTTGTTGTTGTTATTATTATTATTATTATCATTATCATTATCATTATCATTATCATTATTATTGTTATTACGGTGCTTTTTTACGCGAAGGTCGAATGCGGTGGTGGATGTAAATGGGGATTAAAGTCAACGGCAATCGAAAGCAATAGGATGATAATGTCGTGGAAAAATAAAAACATTCTCGACTTTTCTATATTACATTTTATTTTTTTTTTTTTTTTTTTTTTTTTTTTTTTTTTTTTTTTTTTATTCTCGGAGTTGAAACGGCATAATGACGTCCAAGGCGTGGCGAGAAGTGGCATAGAAGCTGTTGATACGAGCTTCTATCTCCTATTCTCTTTCTTATCCTAACTTGCATTTGATATACATTATAAAACTATTTTAGGACAGTCATAAGCATTATAAATAAACGGCAACGCTAATGAAAAAGTCGATCGTTGTATTTCGCGATTCATAAAGGGTTAGTTAAGTAATCTCGATACATTATCATATATACCGCCATCGAGTGTATCAATTTATTTCTTATTAAATTAATCGGGCTACCATGTATTAACATTGTAAATTATATCATAAAGAAAACTGAGCTAGAAGAAGAAGAAGAAGAAGAAGAAGAAGAGTCAAGAGTAATTTTCGTTCTTGAAACTTCTTCGCGTGAAAGTTCTTAAAAATTCGTGTTCACGCGTTTCCTCGCACCGCTACTTCGACGTCAAATTAATTATTAATTATAATCTCCTAGCCATATTGGTAAAGTTGTTGATCTTTTATCAAAATTCTCATCTCCTTCTCATCTCCTCTTAAATATCATCGTTTTCATGTCTGCCAGTTGCTATTGCAATTCGATGACACGATCGGCTGGCGCGCATCTTTTGAATGTACAATAAACGTAAATAGAAAATAACAATTGTTTTTATGAAATTATAGAATTTGTTTGTTTCTTATTCTTTATTTATTTCATATTAATTTTTTTATTTTTCACCTTGATCATTTATACAAGAATATAGTGCGAGAATGACGGATTTTTATAATTCTTGTTTCTTTATTAGCTTTCCATGATGCGTAAACGACTATTCGATTATATTAAATTTTTCAAATTTCGAGCGTTGCAGTTTGCATTGGCTATCTCTAACCGTTTTACCAATCTATAATTATATTAATTATAATGTCGAGCACGCTACGAGTCGTCTGGCTATTTTACTAATTTCTCCTCGACATACGCGGGACAATCGCTGGGGTAAGATAATTTTCACGAAAATTGCTTATTTACTCTTTATCACTTTTGTCTCGATCTTACTCCAGCTTCTTAAATGCCAGACATTAACATCCATTAAGCAGACTTTCTTCAAATCCAAATCCAACGTCTCGAACGTCGTGTCCAACGAGCGTTCGATAATAATTCGATAATAATTCGTTGATAATAATTCGATAATAATAATAATAATAATAATAATAATAATAATAATACCAACAACAATAACAACAATAACGACGACAACAACAACAACAACAACAATAATAATAATAATAATAATAATCCTTGAGCCGTGCCAAGTTCATAAAGCACCAAAAGTAAGCCAAAAGTAAGACAAAAGTGCCTTGGAATACATACGTCGTTCCTTCATCTTCCGAATTCAAGGTTAACGCGATCCCTCCTCGCTCTCTAGCCGATATTATTATGCGAGCGTAAACAACAATACCGAGACAATCCGACGAGCCTCGATATCTTCCATCCTCCACTTATTTTCATAATATCGCCCGATTCTCTCACTCCCTCGTTGGCCGGTTTTTTAATCTCCTTCCTACCACGACGACTCTTCCCCGTCGCGCCATTATCATTCTTAATAAAAGCGCCTGACACAGCCGCTGTGTATGCACGTATGTATGTTTTGAAGCTTCGTCGGGACGGGAATCGGCCGGCCCGGTCTCCCATACCCGCTCTCCGCCACATTGTCGCCCAACCACGCGCCCACCGGCAAAGTGCAAATAGTCCAAGCAGTCCAAGTAGTACGCGAGAGCGCAGTCTGCTCGTCGTCACGGGGCTTCGCTTTGAAATTCCCGGGTATTCGCGCAGCGACGGGATCACGGTGGGCGGCGTGGGTTGGGCGCGACGCGGAGGGGCTGGGGGATTGGCAGAGTGGCGGTAGGCCCGTTGGGTAGCGCTTCGATCGCGACACGGAGTCGCTGTGACCGGGAGCGGCGATGTATCTGTGTTTGTCGGGGGTTCCGAGGCGGTGGCGGCGTCGGCGACCACCAACCGCAGACTTCAGACGGGAGGAGGCGAGATCGCGCGCCAGCCTACTTGTCCCCCGTGTCACGGCGTTTCTAGTGTTTACAGGGTGAGAGAGACAGAGACAGAGCGAGTGAATGAGAGTGTGAGAGTGAGAGAGAGAGAGAGAAAGGTCCGATGACTGATTGATCGGATGGATATTACCGAGGGTTATTAATCGACGATTGTCCGTTATTATGGAACTCGGCTGGGCCGCGCTGCGTTCGAATGGCCGTAAATGGTTGTTTGATTTGAGGGTCCGATGGGACCGAGGTCGTGTGCATCCCCTTCTGACCATTAACGTTTGTTTGTTGATTTCAGAGTAGGAATCGTTGGTTGATTGGGGGCGCTACGGTGATCAGCTCGCTGAGGTTTCAACGCGGATCGGATGATGGATCATGCAACGACCGTTGAGGATGCGGTGAAACGATTTTACGCCTCCGGTGACAACGATGCGCATTCGTGGCTGCTGCAGGTGCAGGCCTCACCGGAAGCCTGGACTTTCGTGTGGCAGTTGCTGGACTCGTCCAAAGTATGATGCTTGGAATGTCGACGTTATCGGTCGAGAGACCGTATAAAGCTTTCAATTTTGCTTGCCAGTGCCTTTGACGAAGCAGGGCCTTGCGCGAGTTTGCTGTAAGCGCCCGATCGTTAACTCGACGAGTGCGTCCCTTCGACGTAGTCATAGCTTTTTTTTACGAGGCTCGTGGGTCGATGATAGTTGGCTTCCCGCTGCTTAGTCCGGGTGTACCGCCGCTCGTAAAAGACACATTTTATAAAGGTCGTCATAAAGGTCGCGGTTGCCCGTCGTTGGCTGTTGATATTTTATGGGAGGTGGGTAAGCACCTGGTGTCGAGTCAACGATCGAGCCTACGGATTAGAGGTATTACACAGCTGTATATATTAAGATAAATTGTAACGTTTGTTTCAGTCGGGGGAAGTGCAATTCTTTGCTGCGACTACGTTGTACACAAAAATCTCGAAGCAATGGGAGGAAGTGCCAAAGTCGGAATACCCGGGTCTACGAGCTCGAATACTCGAGGTCCTAGAGTGTCCCGGAACTTCAAAAATTGTATTGTTAAGGCTGTGCCAGGTGGTGAGTAGGCTTCGATGTAGGTCCGTGCTCAACGGACCCTTTAGCTCAAACCTCTCTCATTGCGCCTCGCTATATCTGTCGTAACAATTTTAGTTAGCCGCTTTCATGGCCAACTGTAGTATGTCGCAGATGGAAGATAAAGGAAAGTGTATGGTCGAGGAGTTGATAGAAATTTTGCCGTACAATTCGCCAACGACCGTGAGCCTGTTTCTAAGGGTGCTCGAAGCAATCCCAAGAGAAGTAAATGTTCTCCCATTTCTATACAAACAAGCGATGGTGTTGCTGATTATATTTTAAAGAACCAATGCATAATTTTAGATTCCAAGCAAATTTTACCAAACGATAAAGTAAAGTCAAGCGGTGGCTACAAGATTCTTTTCTCTCCGAGCTCGACAGCTCCTCGAGGCCAACGGGCCCTGCAAATTTCGTGCGTCGTGCGACGCGCAATTGGCATGCGCGAGAAAAGCGGAGAGATACCAATTATTACTACTCGCCGCTGCTCGAGTCTTTCAATTCATATTCGATATTCGCACGTATTCCTCTTAATTCATCATCGATTCACAAAGCCCATCTTGAATCAGTCGACTCGCGTGACATTATTTTTTTATGCATCATCGCTAACAAAGCTCGAGTCTAAACGTAGCTGGACGCGTTCGCCGGCCAATATCATTATGCATGAGTTTCTTTTAATAACAATACTTTTATTAATAATAATACAAATAATAATACAAATAATAATAATAATAGTACAAATAATAATACCAACGTAATCATAGACGCAGGCCATTTATTTCAGATAGGAGTGCTCAAACTGTATTCGTTAATTTTTTTCCTTTTCTCCTCATTTTAATAGTTCGACCGGCGTCAAGGCGTGAAGCAATTAAAACTACGCGAAAGCATTCTTAATAATTGGTGCAAAACTTCGTGGCTCCTTCAGCAAATCTTCTCCACTTGTACTCAAATGAACGATAGCAACAGTAATGCCTTGTACCTGTCAGGTATCGAGTGCACACTTTCTTGGTTAAAACTCGGTCAATTACCACTGAATACAATTGGACAAATATATCCACATCTTCTTATCGCTGCAGCTCGATTCATACCAAACAGGTAATTAATTATGCTTGTACCGACCATGTAATTTTCGCTTCCTCCTCAACTTCTTCGCCAACAACCTTAACCCTTCCCCTGCGACTCGTGAGTCCAAGGCACGCGCGCGCCACTGGCGACTTAAAAGCGCGATCGTATTATTTGTTATTAACGTCCTTGGCGACCTCTTTCGCGCCACTTTCGACACAACCGCGCGCAGCCGAATTAAAGCGACAAAATGCCACGGCAGGGAGGAGATCGAGGGCGAGAATTCCCGAAGCTGGGAGGTGATCAGGGAGTGTCTCACCATGGTAGTAACGCACACGGAGCTCTACAAGCGGCCCCAGCTATTCTGGGAATGGGCCGAGAGCCTCATATGCATGGTGAAGGAGCTCGGCGCCAAGCAATATTATGAGATCCTCACGGCCTTTGGCGAGGCTCACAGCCGCGCATTCCTCCTCGCCCTCTCGAGCAACGTCGGCTGCACCGAGCAACAAAAGTGGATCGCCGAGCAGCTCATCGAGTTCCTCCTCGAGTGCTCGGAACAGGAGGGCCGTTACCCCATCGACGAGAGGCGCAGCTGCATACCGTTTGGCTTCTGGTACGCGCTGCAGGACGACCTCGCCACCCTCGATCAGCCCTTCGACAGGCAGGCAACCTTCGCCCTCAAGCCCATCTACGCGAGACTGGCGCAGGCACTGCTTAAGAAGGCGACCCTACCCTCCTCGCCCTCCGAGGCCGGCACTACCGAGGAGCGCGAGCTGCTCAGGTGCTACAGGTACGTCCGTTAACCGTCACATCTCACGACAATGACGACGACGACGACGACGACGACGACGACGACGACGACGACGCACGGCAAATTCTCATGATATCCGGGCTTCGTTTGCAGACAAGATGCCGCCGACACGTTATTCTACTGTTACAATGTCCTTCAGCAAGATCTGTTTATCCTTCTTGGTCAAAGATTAAGTCAGTCGCACAACGACGTGAGCAAATGGACCGAGGTCGAGTCGACCATCCACGCGTTCAAAGCCCTCTGCGACTACGTTGGCACTCAAGAATCCCATTACGTCGCAGCAATAATGGACTTGATGCTCCAAATACCATATGGGATGTACCCGAGAGAGGTAAGTTTATTATTTGATGTCCTGGTGCGCATGTATTTGCACATTAAGGTGGTAAAATTGATGATTGTGGGGGGTTGGGGTGTAGCGTGCCGCCTCGGCGCTCGAACATTCTAATACGCTTGCTTAACGCACTATGCCGACCGACGGATCTCTCCTCTAATCTCTCCCACCACCGCCGTCAACGAACAGGATCCTCCCAATGCTCGATCGAGCACACTCCAAGGTTCTTTTTTGCAAAATTCACAGCCCTATTTAGCGGGTCGATGTGGCGTGGGCGGCGGCGGCGGCGGCGGCGGCGACGGCGACGGCGGTGGCGGCGGTGGCGGCAGTGGCGACGGCGGCGGCGGTGGCGGCGGTGGCGGCAGTGGCGACGCCTTGGCACACGCGCCACCAGGACATTTCGCGCTCACGCTGTCGCGAGTTCGCAGGTGCTGTGCTGCGCCTGCTTGGCGATCGGTGACTACGCCGAGTGGATCGGCCAACATCCCGAGCCCTGGCTCGAGCGAGTCCTCCAGCTGGTCGTGATGGGCCTTACCAACGACCCAGTGAGCGCGCCCGCGGCGAGCATGGCACTCAAGGACATCGCCCGGGAGTGCGGTCAGCACCTCGCGCCCCTGGCACCCTCGATCCTCGAGACCATCGGCCGTATTCTGCCGGGCGTGGCGCCCGGTGGCGGTGAGGGTCTGCGGCTCATGTACGCCGCGGGTAAGCTGCTCAACTCCCTACCGAGTACCGAGGCGCAGCTCTCCCATCTCGAGGCGACCCTCGGCCTCTGCGTGCTCAGGCTCCGGGAGCTCCTCCAGCAGCCCGTAACCGAGGCTCAGCTCGCCGTTGCCAACCAGCTCAAGATGATCACCATGTTCTTTACGACGCTCGAGGGCGCCATCGGCAACGCCGTCCTCGAGGCGCTTCTCCCGATATTTGAGGGGGTGAGTCGAGCTACTCCGCCCTTTACCCGAGCTGCGTTTGTCGCAACATTATTAAGCATTGACGTGGGTGATGATAAGTTATCTATAGCCAAAAAAAAAAAAAAAAAAAAAAAAAAACCGACTAATGGAGAGGAATCGAGGAAAAACTCGGAATTCGGCGTAGACGATTCGCTCGAGCATTGCTGCATGATTCTCGAAACGCAAAGAGAAAAGAAAAAATAAATAATGGTCCAAAGTATGGTAGAGCGCGGTAATTGCCGGCGAGCATATAAAATCTATCAAAAGCTCCTAGTAGTATGAGAGAGAGAGAGAGAGAGAGAGAGAGAGAGAGAGAGAGAGAGAGAGAGAGACAGACAGAGAAAAGTGACGTCTAATTTTAATTTGTCAACAGATCGTGAACCATCCGGAATGGAGTACAGTGGATTCGACTCTGGAGGCTATGCACAACTGCGCGCAAAAATCTCTGTCCTCGTTGGTCTGTCCGGAGCGCGAGGCTAAGCCACTACTCCCGATCCTCAGCGCCTCCTACAAGATACGAGCCCACCCCGCGGCCCTTACCTTCCTCAAGCAGCTGGTCCTACTGTTCGGCAGGGACCCAAACAACATCATCGGTCCCGTTTTTGGCGAGATAAGCGGCCTGACGCTGCGCGGCGTTGCCGCCTGTCGCCAGGTCAGCGGCAACCTCTCCAACCTCTCCGATCTCCTCGAGGCTTACCTCGGCCTCCTCGCCCAGATCTGCAAGAAGAACGCGAGACTGCTACTGCAGATACCCGATCAAGTACCTGAGATGCTGCACTGCGGTTAGTTTCATCTCCTGTGTTTGCTACGAGTGAGAGGGAAAAAAAAAATGTGAAAATGTAAGGAGAGAGAGAGAGAGGAAGAAGGAGACTGACGAGGCCAATTTCAAATGGTCCCTTAAAGTTAAAAAAAAAAAAAAAAAAAAAAAAATTATATCCCGATAAAAGTGAATTTATAAATTTAGTGAATTCTCTATGAAAAAAAGATGAAAAAAAGATTTGGGGTGGGGGGGGGGGGGGGTTTCCACACGAGACTCGCGAATCTTAAAATTTCGAGGTGAACGAACGTGTCCATTATTATTAATCCACGTCTTCTCCACTCTTTTATAATTATATTTATTAATTGCCAAATGGTGTAGTGTCATTTACTAGAGTATTGCTTGAAGTGTCGAGATTGTGGTACGTAAAGCGGCGAGTACAGTGAACTGTCGTTGACCGGCCACCGGAAAGGACCTTGACGTTACGCGCGCGTTTGGGGAAATTATTCACCCACGCGTAACCAAGTGACTTGTTTTTTTTTTTTTTCTAATTTGTTTATTTTTTATTTTGGTAACTAAGTAACCGCTGTGCGCGCGTGTCCCCCGTGCCGGAAATTAAATCGATAAATTAGTCGTGTAGATTTCGGGCGTCGAGACGTTGGGTTCGTTAGCTTTTAAACTATTCCTTGTGATAAAATTGTAATAAGTATTGAAAATGCCAAAGAAGGGGGAAGCAAATGCCGGGAAAATCGGTAAAAATACGGAGGTGTCGAATATGACGAAGGAGCAACTGATAGTGCATGCGTCTAAGCTCGTGGAAGAGCTGGAGCGCGAGCGGGAGGAGAGAAATTACTTCCAAGTGGAACGAGATAATATTCAGGTATTTTGGGATATAACGAAGCATCAGTTGCAGGAATGTCGGCAAATGAACAGAATATTCGAGAAAAATATGCAAGATTATTCAAGAAAATTCGACGACGAGGCATTGACGTACAGGCAGAAATTTCGACACCTCGTTTATACTTATCAAAACGAAGCGGCCGACGCGAACGTGGAGAACTTGGTGGCATTGAAGAAGCACCAGAACAACTTTCTCCGACAGAAGAACGAAATTTACTCGAGCCATAGAAATAAATTGAAAATAGCGAACGAATGCAACTTGGCGGCGTTTAGTCAGTGCGAGGCAATCAAGTTGGCGCACAGGGAGACGTTGGAAGCGACGAAGGAGGATTTCAATCGTGATCGTATAGACATCCAGAACAAGTACGACAGTAAGATAGCGGAGTACAAGAAGCAATTTTCCCTCAAGCACAATATGGAAATGATGGAGGTGGAAGAGAGGAAGAACGAGCACATGGACAAGCTCATTAAGCAGCACGATGAAGCTTATCAGGAGCTCAAGACATTTTACAACGACATTATTGTCAACAATTTGAGTATTATCGAGAGCTTGAAGGAGAAGTTCAATCTAATGAAGCAAAACGAATCACAGCTAATGAGTCAACTGAAGCATTTGAAATTAACAAATCAAAAATTAAAAAATAATTAAGTCTATTCGACATTTTATTACACTTTCTGCGACTCAACGACTATTGTAATTAGTATGATTTATTGCTAAAGAATAAGGTGCGCCGAATGTTATTTCATCACTTTAATTATCATTATTAGTATCTAAGTACGACGTGTCACGTTAAAGAGCAAATTTGCTTCAAAATTGAAATGTTTCGTTAAATTTCAGCCGTTAAGTGTAAGCTGCTTTTTATTTTATTTTTATATACCAAGCCAAAAACAACATGCTTTCCTTTCCTTCGTTTTTTTCATTTTTCTCCCCCCCCCCTCCGCCCCAATTTTTTTCCCATTTACCAAAAAAGAAAGAAAAAACGAGAGCAAAACAAAAAAAAAAAAAAATAAATAAATAAATAAAAAAAAAAATACCATTTATCAACGCGTATCAACACAATGTATTTATTTGTTTTTAGGAATAGCGTGTTTACTTTTACCAGAAACTGGTACCGTTAAAGCTGCCGGAATTTTCCTAACTCACGCCATAACTCAAAGTCCGCATTTGCAGACATTCATACAACCCATTGGCCAAGAATTAGTCTGTGTTATACTACAATGTGTGGGTAAGTAATTGCAAAATAAACGAGACACCCACGTTTAATCGTTGATTGGGCGGCATGCCATTGACGAAAATTTGAAATTACTTTTTCATATTAAATTCATGTTAATTAATAAATATGCCCACCAATGATATGATGCCCGATAATGCTACGTAAAAGTAAAAAAAAAAAAAATATTTCAAATATTTTCAATTATTATCGAGTTGGACAAAGTTCCGACAGAATTTAATTCTTAAATGAATTGTATAACGTTAAGGTGACGCTAAGGACGCGTTTGGACGAAAATGACGAAAAAAATAAATTTAACGAAAAATATTCGCTCGCGTTCTAATTTAAAATTTTAATATTCAAACATCTATCGTTAATTATCGAAACGAAAATAAAATAAAATATAAAAAAAATATGTGTCCGAAATTACGCGTTAAACACATCGCAATTAACGAAAACAATGGGGGAGGGTGAAGCAAACAAAAAAAAAAAAAAACGAACAAAAATCGTGGAAACAATTGAAGAAGTCGAGAATATCCGTATTATAATATCAATATTCGACATTCTCATATACGACTGCTTTTAAATAAAATACCAAAGACTTTTGACTGGCCTTATTCTCCACTTAAATCCACCCTCTATATCACTAACACAATCAAGCAACATAATTTTATTATTAATTGCAAAAACGTATGTATCATAGGTGTGCGCCGTGTCTCCTCATCGAGAGCGAATTCATATTCGACAGAGTGCCCCCCTCCACCCCTTATTTATTTTTCAAATGAAAAAGCCCAGTCCTTTGTTGTTTATATCGCGTTACATAATAAATAAACTTCGCCCGTCGCTTTGTAACCGCACTTGAGCAACATAGTCGACGTAGAGGCAACCGATGGCCCCTAATTTCATTAAGCACCACGTCAAAGGGCTACGTATTCAGATGGTAATGTATCGTTTCAGGGGGCAGCGTGCCACGAAATAACCTTGAGCCACACGCCGAGGTATTGCTGGCTCTGAACAAAACCTGCCTCGAGTGGACGACACAGTGGCTGAGGCTCGCCCTCGCCGACAGCACCGCCCTCGTTGTCTCCCAAGCCCAGAAGGAGAGTTTCACGCACGACGTGCTGCGCGAGCGCACGAACAAGCGCCGCCTCTGCGACAAGCTGCGGGAGTTCAGTATGCAGTGCCGCCAGGCGACCCTCGGCTTGTGAAACTCACCGAGCTTACAATCTGTACATAATGTCTTTACAATGCGAGAAAATAAAAAATAAAAATCACATGCTACTTCCATACCAAGATAATTAGCCGTGGCATAAGATTTTTCGTCGTCGTTTTGAGTCTTAAAAATTAATCGAGAGAGAGAGAGAGAGAGCGCTCGCTACAACTCAAGTCGTCTAAATATTCGATTAAAATCACATTTGTATTATGTATTTTCGTATTTGAGAGTTTGTACGTTGAGATGTGGTAGCTTTAAGCAAACACTTTTTTTCTAAAAAAAAAAAAAACAAACAAACAAACAAACAAAAAAAAAACAAAAAAAAAACAAAAAAAAACCAGGTGACTCGAAGCGCTCTTTAAGGCACGCTTCGTCCGTCGTGAAATAATGTATTTCGAAAAAGTAGTTTATGACATTTCTTGATTAATACGAACGTGTTTCTTAACGAAAAGAAAAACAAAAAAAAAAAAAAATTACCTTACTTCACTTTGCTAACATTCCTTAAAATTCTTTAAATTCATCATAATGCATCCTACGAGGTAGTCGTTTTTGTTTTAATTTTGTAGATTATACAAGAATAATAAGTGCGGGTGACAAAGAACAAAAATATACATTGAGTTTTATGAGTGGATGTTTTTGCCTTCCCCTCCTCATCCTCCCTTACACTTACAGTTACACTTCAAGCTTAAACTGACTATATATTGCAAAAATTACATTGATTTTCGCAAGAAAATGATGTATTTTGTTTTAATTATTTATTCGTATCTCAGAAATGTGTTTTGCAAGTTTACAGAAGCAATTTGTTGTACATATTTTTCTATCGTTCTCCTCGGTTGTGAATCAAAAATCTAAATATCTTAATCTCTTGAATATGCAGCTATCAATTATATCTATATATGTAGAACGTAACCTATCTATATATATATATATATATATGTGTGTGTGTGTGTGCGCGTGCGTGCGTGCGTGCGTACGTGTGTATCATGTATCACAGTTGAACGAAGCATTAATTACTTTATTGATACATTTTTATACAACGATAATAAAATGTAAAAAAATTAAAAAGAGATGGGAGGTCTTACGTATTTTTGATTGTATAAAAATACATGGCCAAACAACTCGGAGGTCTTTGATAAATTGTGATACATGAATATTCATTTACATGTCCGTGTGTTCATAAATCCTACAATTAATTAATTGATCTGCTGTAAAGATTAACGATTTGACAAACTCGTTTTCATAAAAGTATACAATTGTAAATCGTTGCTTACAGTACGTGATTATATAATTACGAATATGTCGATGTTTATAGAGTGCTTAAAGTAAATTAACTTTATAATGCAATAAGTGCTGTACAATATCTGCATAAAAATGAAAAAAAAATGAAAAAAAAAAACAAAGCACTTAACGATTTACATATATTCTTTTTTACAAAAATAAAACTTTGTTTCTCACTTTTTTGTTTTTGTTTTTGTTTTTGTTTTTGTTTTTGCCGTTGTTGTTGCAGCATTATTCTTAATTATTCTTAGAAACATGTATGTTCAAGTACATTCAATCTTAGTTGGTTATTAGAAATTAGAAGAAATAATTATCAGTCGTATTGAGATTAGGAAATCATTAAAAGGATGTCAAGGAGTCTATTAAATTTCTTATTTTACCTTTAGAATAGTGAAATTGCATACATGTTTTCCTATCCCTTAATAATATATATGAAATTTTCATTCAACTACTAAGTATTTCAAATTTATATATATATATATATATATATATATATATAAGAAAGACAAAGGAAATTTAATGCAGACTGTAGACTTCCTTCTTAATGAAAATTATCACTCTTGGGAAATATTTTCCATCGCAATCATGTACATATTAAAAATGTTCATTCTGTACGTAATTTACTATTATTCATTGTTCCTCTCCCCCATTGGTGATTGGGTCGGATTGAAATTTAGCAGCAACTCGAGATCGTCTTTGCTTGACGAACTTCTGACCCTTCTGTGCATTTTGCACGTACTGTGCTGGACTTCTCTCCATGTCCGATTCATTGAACTTATTATTGATCCTGGTCTCTTGGTTTATTTGCTATTATCAATGCAATTGAATTAATTAATTAGGAGTAATTATTAATACATGAGTTGTACAGGCTGTAGGTATAATGTAATCATGAAGTAACCTTGAAATTACTTTTTGCTATTCCGCACATACGTATTTGCTTAATTATCTCACAACTCGGCGATAAAGGATCGTGACGCGTAAATTATATTGGCAAAAGGTTCGTTAGGAATTAAAATATTAAAAGATTGATTGGATTAATCCAATCTCTTACTACTAATTCATTGCCCATGCGAGGAAATAATAATGAAATATTTTTCTTGTAAATAAAATAGAAGACGATTGAATTTGATTATACAACATTGAAGTAAAAAAAATAAAATAAAATTGTTTAACAATTTATTAAATGTCGATAAAATGCGTCGACTATTTTTATTTATTTCTTAAATATTTATAACGTTTGACAATTTCATGATTTTTTCATAAAAGTTTTTCATTATGACGAGTGTCGTGAATTTGAAATTTAACGTACCTTGGCATCGACATCGTTGAATTTCTGGTCCATTTTATTATCAACCGAATCCCTCTTTTGTTGTGGCTGCTGTTTTTGTTGCTGCTGCTGCTGCTGCTGCTGCTGCTGTTGTTGTTGCTGCTGTTGTTGCTGCTGTTGTTGCTGTTGTTGTGGCTGTTGCTGCTGTTGCTTATTTTGTACCTTTTTATCCTGCTGTTTATTCTGCTGTTGTTGAGACTTTTTCTCCTGCTGTTTATGCTGCTGTTGTTGAGACTTTTTCTCCTGCTGCTGTTGTTGAGACTTCTTTTCCTGCTGTTGAGATTTTTTTTCCTGCTGTTTATGCTGTTGTTGAGGCCTTTTTTCTTGTTGCTTTTGTTGTTGCTGTTGTTGAAACTTCTTTTCCTGTGGTTTATGCTGCTGCTGCTGCTGCTGCTGCTGCTGCTGAGGTTCTTTGTGTTGTTCATCACTGTTGAGTTGCTTATTTATTTTTCGTGTCTTCTTTTGCGCCTGAAGGGGTACAAATGGCGTTGAATTGATTATCGTGGGCTCGTGCTTGATAGGTTTAGTCTCAAAGTTACTGCGTGGGGACTGAGGAGGAAAGCGAGCCTGCTGCTTGGGCTGATGCAACTGATGATTCATTTGTTGGGGAACGTGATGCGTAAAGTTTGCTAGTGGGTTCTGTGGGATCGTTGGATTCCACTTGGGCATGGGAAACTGCATTGCCCGGACATGCGACAATTGAGGAATTTGAGGGATTTGAGGAATTGGTGGGATTTGAGGGATTTGAGGGATTTGGGGGATTGGAGGGATTGGAGGAATTGGAGGAATTTGGGGGACTTGCTGGACTTGGGGGAAGGCCGAGGGTAGCACGGGATTCACGTTAACCGGCTGAGCTCCTGGATGGCGAATATTATTTATCGTGTTATTGAACCACTGTCGGGGCGGAGGGTGCAACGTCATCACCCTTTTGTCCAATTTCAGTTCCTGCAAAATGAAATTATCTCAATACGAAATTACATACATTTTGAGCATAGTGTTGGGATGTGTGAACCTTTCACTTCTCAATTGAATGACATAGCGATAACATTCGTAAGGTGGATTTGTGCAATTGACGCAAATTTTATTTTCAATTTTTAATGCGCGACATAACCGTTTAGTACAATCGCTGATCATTATATCGAATTTTTACAGTTTCAGGTTCGCCCTTTTTCCACTAAGAACTAATGGATAAACGGGTAGAAGAGGCTTGCCGAATCAATCAATCTTATAGCGAAATGTTTTGAATAAAAAAAAAAAAAATAAATAAATAAAATAAATAAATAATCGTAGAGCCTTGTATAATTTTGTTGTGCCGGATTATAATTGCGGCAATACCTCGTAGACCTTTTTGGCGGCGCTCTCGACGGCCTCGTTGTACGAGTGACAGTAATCACCGAAGAAGAGCCCCAGGTCCGGCAGTAAGACCTGGACGCGCACGGTATTCTCTTGGCTATCGCTGTAGACGTACCTGGGCGGTTCCGAGCCGAGCATCTGAAAGTGCGAGCTCACCTGGAGCCGATAGAACGAATTATTGTCGCCCTTCATCTCCGTCTGGCGCGAATGGTGCTGCAACATCCAAGGTGTGAATCGGACGATTATCGGATTAAGAACTTGGTCGCTGATATTTTTGTTTTACTTGTTATTCCATTGACGTAGTACATTGCACGCGATTTTAAGCGTCCCATTACTTTTAAGCGAAAAAAAGCAACGTTGCCGGCTCTTAAGTTCATTATTTGCGTTATTGTTCATCATTTATTATTTTAGCGTCGGCCGTGTCGATCGACCTATCGGCAAATATATTTCTAAAGAATTACACGGGAAAAAATCATTGAAAATCGCGACTTTTACAATCGTATGATTGTAAATGACGAATTTAGTTAGTCGTAATATGATATTTGGCTGTTGGCGGCAATTATTCGGCAACTTTAAGTATGGAAATTTATTTTCAATTCAACGTACACAAGCGTATTAGTTATAATCGAGTAGCGTTCTATAATAATAACAACGACAACAAGAACAAGAACAAGAACAAGAGCAACGACAACGACGACGACGACGACGACGACGACGACGACGACGACGACGACGACCATAATAATAATAATGATAATAATAAAACTGAGACCGCGGTAGGGTGCAATGTACAAGTTACTGAGTTTACGACAAAATAATTGTCAAACGGTCGTAGAGTGCAATTTCGTACATCACTTCATGGAAATAAGCTTGCATACGCTTGCATATTTGAAATATAATGGTGTACATGATTTTTCATCATTCGTTATGAAAATGTCAGCGACCAGTGGTATTTGATGAAAAAGAAAAATAAATAAATAAATAAATAAATAATGAATAATACATAGGTTCAATAGTTAGCATATTTCAGTTGAATTGAAGGTTTAAATTAAGTCACATAAAATGCAGACTAATCAACTATTTAGTTGCTCGAATGTAGAAAAATTTGATGAAAAATGCTTATTAAACTCTTATATCTAATCTAATATACATAAAGATAAAGCAATTGTAGACACGCTAATGTATTTTAGCAACATACATCGAACAACTGTTGCACCAAGGGCGGAGTGTCGGTTGCTTTTGGCGTTTGAGTAAACTGTAAAGGTTTGTTTGTCAGCGGCGCCGGAGTCGAGGAAGATGCTTTGTTGCTTTGCGTTTTTTCGTCAGAAATTTTCAATATTGCTTTCAAGAAAGCACTAGGGTCTTGAGGCTGCGAGAGTTTTAAATTTATATTGCTTTGTTAATATTTCATTTAATTATTAACACTAATAAAGAAAGCAGAGATAATTTGAAAGCAAAGCATAAATCAACGTTACATTGCGTATTCTAGAAAACAAAAGGCTTAATTATTTACTTGGGGGGGGGAAAAAAAAAAAAAAAAAAAAACTACGTTCTAATTCTATGCAATAAATAATATCTACGCGCGCACACAAACACACACGCACGCACACGCACGCACGCACGCACGCACACGTGTACATATGCATACAATAGTTTTTATTTTATAATAAATATATATGAATTGATAAAAGATTAGATTTCTATGAAAAGAATGAGGCACCAGAGAAAGAACTACGAAAGAGAAGAAATCTATCGTATAAAAAAAGGGAAACAAGTTTCTTCGAAAATATTTATACAAATGAATATTATTCATTGTTAAAGTATAAATTTGTCTAATATCGTATAATATGTAATAATGTATCTTACATTGCCATTAATTTTCTCATTTTCATTAAAGAAAGACAGGGAAAATAAAGTGATGAAATTAACACTAATTTGGTTGTTTTTTCTTTTTACAAATCTGTCATTTACAACATATTTTTTTTACTATTAAATTATTAAATTACCAATTAAATAATTCGCGTTTGTAATTTTAAAGATAAATGCCAATATCTTTTTGCTATTATCTCTCTCATTTTTTCTTTATCTTTCTTTCATTAATTCTCCTTGGAAGAATGAGATGAAAATCAAAGTAAAATTTGCCTAGAAGTAGACATTGACAATTAAATATACTGACAATCTGATATTCTACTCATTTTTTGATAAATATTTACCCAAGCTTGATCTTTCCATGGCTGCTTATCGAAACAGAAATAAAATATGAATAAAACCTATTAGTATTATAAGCTCTACATGATTTAGGCAAGCATGCGAAGGACTAAGATGCTTTTTAACTACTCAGAATAAAAAATATACTTAAGTAAGCCATAATATAGATAATATTGCGCAGTTATTTAAAATTCTACCACTACTACTACTACTACTACTACTACTACTAGAGATTTCGACGTGTCGATGATACAGGCTATTGTGAAAAATGTTTTAAACGTCGTTTTTGAGTTTATAAAAGTAATAAAGAAATTTCCTTATTGGTTAAAGTGAACAATTCTGGTAGCCACTACTTGTTCTAAAACAAAACTTTGTTTAACATTTGAAATAGAAGTAAATTATTAAAATCATCGAAGAAGCTAAATCAATGATCAATATATGCGTCGTATACGTCTACTACCCAATACGTCTAATACCGAAAAATTAAAATCAAATCAGCAAGCAAATACAACGTTATTTAATTTTGCAACCTAACATTCTCTATATAATTCAATTTTTAATATACGAAAAAATGACGTCCATAGTTATTGAATTTTCAATTTTGCTCGGTTGTATATACATTCTCTTGATACTTGGTCCTTGCGAACCAATAAGGAGAGAAAGAAATAAATCTAAATGATAATTTTAATAATACGTTATTTCCACTATTTTTAATAAGCATACGATAGAGCTATTATATTTTTATAAATATATCAATGCATTCTATTATCAATTAAATGATAATTAATATCTACGAGACCGGTAAGTTTGTACTTTCAGTCGGCCTTATCAGGCGTTTACTTCAAATTCATATAAAATTATATGAAAAACTTATTACGTCAATTACTTTCTTAATTAATTTTCAAAAAGACTTTTAAATAAAATTCAATGATATATCCCATCAAATATAATTATTCAAAGAAATACATAAGGTTGGTAATAGGGAATCATCTGATTTAGAGGTACAAAATGGTAGATTTCTTTTTTTCTTTTCTTTGCATAGGTGATTAAACTAATCATGAATGTATTCCTTGAACTTAGTTTAAAAGAATTTGGAAGAATTTAATTTAATTATTAGTAAGAATAAGTGAAAAATAGGATAATATAAAGCAGAGCTTTATATGCTTAATAATATGCTTTTTATGGATATTCCCATGTAAATGGTAACGAATGAACATACATACACGTGTAGGAAATACTTTGTTTCGACATCGTGAATAAAAATTATTGACAAAAATTTCTATCCTCCTAGCTAATTTGTAATTTGAGCAATGGCTTCTTTCGCCATTATATCGAACTTTTCAAAGATTTATTTTTCTAAAACAAATTAGCAGATACATTTTTAGTCCTTGAAATCAGATAACCCCATTAGGATAGAACTTAGATTATTTAGATAAAATGAAGCTTAAATAAATGCGATTAAATTATTCTATCGATAAAATACTAATTCTAAATCTAAATCTTTACTGTATTGTCATCAGAATATATGACATCTATGTTGCTCGTAATTAGTATTAACTTATGTACTTACGGAAGTATCGGGATTGGCTGAAATTGGATTCGTCTCGTCTTTTGCAGTTGACTCTATTTGCTTTTTTGCCGGCTCTACAGGTTTCTGTTACAGATACATAATACAAGCGTAAATAACAGTATTTATGAATCATCTTTGTTTTTAGGAATTATAACTGTTATTGAATGCAATGACTCGTATAATTTGAAAATATACGAGTCATTGCATTTATAATCACTTTACTGTTGGTATTGTCTATAAAAATCGATTGGTTTGAAAAGTCGATAATATTTTAATTTCCTTTTGTTCCATTTTATTATTTTAATAATTTTTATTTTATAACACGGCCATTCCAAATATTGTAAAAGAAGATCCTTGATTATTTAAAATTGATTATTAAACGCCTATCAACCAACGATGCTTTAATAAGTATCTCGTTTCACTTACGTAGCATCTACTACAATCTGACACTCGCGCAAACAACGGCGCCTTTGTTATGTTTTTACACAAAGCAGCAGTTTCATTTGTTTTTACTATTAATCGTGAGTAAAATATTACAATTAAAAAAAATATACAAATATTTCGTTTGCCAGTCTATAATTATTTTGAGTTTATGAGCGTAAGATTTATGATATTTTGAACGGTCAAGCTTCGAGAAAGAGAGATTCGTATGTCTGTCAGAGAATCGATAATTACTTTCCTATTATTAATGATCGAAAAGGTTACTTTTCTAAATGGCCATTTTTAAAAAGTATTTAATGATATGAAAAAAGTGACAGTATTATTACGAGCTCGACAATAGTGCCAGGAAAAGGTGGGACGGTGGTGAGGGAGAGGGATGAGGGAAGGGAGATAAGGGTCAATATACGATTGATTATGATAAAGCAATGAACCTGCATATCATTGAGCTCTTTCCAAAGTTCCTGCGGTGTCTTTGTCGGTTGCGTGTCTATACTCTTTACATTTTGCGTCGATGGTAAAGAAGTCCTCGTGCACCTGTTCAACTGCTTCTGCAATACAACTGTCTTCAGCAAAATTCTTTAAGGATATTAAAGCGATTTCTAACATTTAATTTTACTTTCATCTCGATTAAATAGCCAACTTAAATGCATCTCTGAATACGAGATAATAAAAGAAAAAAAATTTGAAAAACAAATAAATAAATAAATAATAATATAAACGATGAAAGAAAAAAGTGTCGATATAAGCACGACCATTGCTAACGAGTGTCAATAAAGAAATAAGATGAAACAACGAACCTTCTTCCTGCTATTGTAATACATCAAAAGTTCGTTGGGCGACATCGCCATCTCAACCATACTCGTCGTCATCGGCGTGATATTACACTTGTAATTATTGTCCGACGGCTTGATCAACGTGTCTGGCTGTGTGAACAGATCGTGTCTCGAATAACTTTTCGCTGGGCTTTGCGACTTATCGTTGCACTTGTTATTTTGTTGGCCATCCTTCGCAAACATCGAATAAAAGTGGCTCTGGTTTGGCGATTGGTTGTTGGATTTCAGAGATGTCGCTTGAGACTTCCGCAAATGTTCGGGCGTTCGCGAACTGTCCGCCGAGTCGTTAAATTGCTTGTGCTGCTGTTGGTAAGAGTGACGATGTGATTGTTGGCGCGATTGTTTCTGCTGCTGCTGCTGCTGCTGCTGCTGCTGCTGAGGCGGTTTTTCTTGTTCCTGTTGTTGTTGTTGTTGTTGTTGTTGTTGTTGTTGTTGTTGTTGTTGTTGTTGTTGTTGTTGTTGTTGTTGTTGTTGTTGTTGTTGTTGTTGTTGTTGTTGTTGTTGTTGTTGTTGTTGTTGTTGTTGTTGTTGTTGTTGTTGTTGTTGTTGTTGTTGTTGTTGTTGTTGTTGCTGCTGCTGCTGCTGTTGATGATGTTTATGGTGTTGGGGCGACTGCTGATCATCCGATTGCTGCGATCGTTGCCTCCAAGAAAACGGCACGATGTTCGTCTTGCTTACATTCTTATTCTCAATATTAATACCGAAACTTATGTTGATAAAATCCGTGATTGCCATCTTATAGCATCGGTTCGGCGAGCTTCCAAGAATCGATAATCCCTCTAAAATTTATAATTGCTTATAATGGGCTTATAATTGTCAACCGGCGTATGTGGCGATCGTACGTACTCCCGGCGACTTTCGGGTATTTATCGGCACAAGCAATTTACATATTTCAATTCACATCAATAACGACATTTCAAAATTGAACGAACTATTGCATTATAAAACTACGAAAAATTAAAAAATTATAACTTCTATTTAATGTGTAAATTACATTGGTTGCCTCGGTACTTTATTATTGGACTTTTATGGTTTAAAAGTTTAATTTGATGTAAAATATTTTATCCTTATTTCCAATTTCATTAGACATTAACTTTACACCAACATCATAATTGAATATTTTCTTCCGCGAACAACTAACATATTTACGTACGATAATACATAAAATGTGCTTCAATTTTTTTCTTACAAATCTCCTTACTCTCGCAAATTTATAACGAATAAAACGACAAAAACATAAATACTTCAGAGAAATTATACGTATAAAAGCAGCAACTTGTTGCATTTCTACAATTACGGGATTTCAATACGAAATTTAATTGGCATTTTTAATTCTAGCACTTGGATGATACTCCATCAAATACAGATAAATGTAATTGAATTGCCGAGTGCGATGTTGGAAAAAATCGCCTTTATCAATAAATTTTCTCGCAATCTCGAGTAGGCGAGGCGGGCCGAGTTAGCTGGAAAAAGTCCATTATCAATCGGGGCGAGGGAGCGTAAGAAGGAAAAAAATCGAGGAACGAAGAAAAAAATGTAACTCGCGGTCAACGAATGTTGGCAAACAGGCCCATTGTGCTGGCCCAACAATACCCTCGCTCATGTCGCTCGAGCGAGCTGCGTTCGCGCGCTCCTCCTTATTGCTCTTTTATTGTTGAAAAATCATATATCAGTGTTCCCTCTCTCTCTCTCTCTCTCTCTCTCTCGGTGCCACCACCGTTACCGTCACCGTCGCCGTCCCAGTGACTGACCGACCGACCGACCGACCGCCCGCCCGAGGATTTGTGCAGTCGACCGCCGCACTGCAGCACCGACTTCTTCGATAGCACGCGACTTTTGCCAACTTCCTCATAAATGGCTTAACAACGCCTCCAACGCCTCCAACGCCTCCACCATTGTTAAAATTGAGGTTGCGGGGCCACCGGATGTCCCCTCGTATTTTCACTCCCGTTACCGTCGAACTGCGACAGCGCGCCCCGACGATTTTACCCTTTCCGCGCTTAACCAACGACAAGGCCGACAACAAGGACAACGCGTACTCCTCCACTAAACTATAAAGCCATCGTGCAAGAAAATCACAGGATCACGATATAATATAGCCGATTTATACTACAATATCGTTATATCATACGAAATTTCAAAGCTTTTGCTATTCGCCATCGATGATTTATCAATTATGGATTTAGTCTCGTTCTCGTTCTTGTCTATAACGAAGATTTCAATAAATCAAAATAATACATCGGAAAATACGATCGAGCTACGTTAATATCGATTTTCAACAATTTTGAAGCTTTCACAACGAATAGCATGCGAAAAGATGTCTTTTCCTAATTGCATACGAGTGCTACTGATTTTATTCTCTTGTACGTTTTGTATATTCACGAGGGAACAAATATAAATATATGAGTTAACAACTAACGGATCAGCAATTGAAATCTCATTTTTGACGAACGCAACCACATCACCACGGTCATTTAATTAAATTCCTCAATTAAATTTATTTTTATTTAATTTAATTGTTTAATTGAATAGGGGGGCTAAATCGCAACTACTATCCTGCTTTTGAAAAAGTCCGTTGGTTCGATGTTTATGTCGATGATATTCTTTTACAAACGAATTTTACTACTAAATACGAGGTAAAACAATTGCCATTCTATAAAGATTTTTCATTGAAAAATTTTGTCTCCTACAGTTTTTGCTCGTTATTCGTAAACATAAGCCAAATGACGATTCCCATTACTTCATCCGATGCAATCATCGGCGTAAGGAATTTTAATTATCATTATCGCAAAGGTTGGAAAAACGGTATATTAGATAAAAAATTTCATTTCTTTTTATTTGATTTTATTTTTTTATATTAATGAGGGACGAGCGGTTCGACGACTTAATTTTTTCTTCGACATAATTATTTTTCGTTGTAAAATAGTATTATTATTATATAAAAACAATTTTTAAATACCATTAGATAGAGTAAAAAGGCCTAATGTTTGACAGTTAATGCAATTGCGTGTCTTGTGAAAAAAAAAAAAAAAATTCCAATAGACGATGCTTTTACTCGCGCCTTTCAAGGAATTCCTATAGAAATTGCCTTGAATCGTGAAAAAATATGTCTTATCCCGTAAATCCAATACGTTTCCGATCCATCCGCGTTGGTGCAATGAAATTGCCAAAACTTGAAGATGTAAGAGCCTCGACATGTATACTTAGAGTTAATATCACTTATCCCCTATAATTCTTGCTAAAAAATCTTTTATGGGTATGGTTCATAAATTCATTAAATTTTAATGGTATATGTTATGTTTTATTATCAAATCTTTTTTTCGCGTATCAACGGAATAATAATATTTATAAAATGCAATACCATTCATTAGTTTATAAAAATCTAAAGCAGCTGTTGTATTTTTTGACCACTTAACTTATCAAACTATCTATATAAATATTAAATATCAACACGTTTACAACCGTTACATCGTTACATAAAAACTACTTTAACGATTGTTTTGTTTTTTCAATTGATATATATCGACTTTTGCCGTATAACGTTCTCCTCGTTCGTATTTCGCATGCGCAGAGCTCTCACACTTCATACGATAATAATAATAAATAGTAATAATAATAATAAATAGTTAATAATAATAATAATAATAATAATAATAATAAATAGTAATAAATAGTAATAATAATAATAAATAGTAATAAATAGTAATAAATAGTAATAAATAGTAATAAATAAGTAAAAATTAAGGCCTTAAGAAGGAGTGACAATGGGAAACGAGCGAAAATTCATCATTTACCTACGAATTCTTTGTCGAAGATCACCTGGCAGGTTGGATTGTCGGATTCCAGGTGGAGACTTATTATAGTGCCTTTATAGCCCAAAGGCACCGGGAAGTTTTCCCTCGTGCAAATAATCCTGTCGAGGATCCGATGCTGGGCATTGGGATCCGGGCACACAGCCCCGATCGTGATACATGGTCTGTAGAGCAGGTGGGGCTTCACCTGCATAAGGACCGTCTTCGTAGCTTTGCGCTGAGTCTCGATCGACTCATCGAGTACCTTCTCCAGTGCTTGCACGGCATCTTCCTCGAGAAACTCTACGTCACAAGGACATAAGGTCAAATTGAGTTTCTTCTGCTGCTCCTTTAGCCACGTTAGCACCTCCTGGAGGCTCTCCAAACTACACAGCAAAGTGCCATATTGTCTTACGTGTGTATTAAGAAAGGAGCAATTCTACTTGCGAGAAGTGCGAATGACTTTTTAATGCATTGTCATTAATTTGCAAATAATGCTTAGAGTGTGAAAGGTTTAAAAAGAAAACTTGGATCGATCAATCAGAAATTAACACTCGACATATTTGCGCGAGATTTGTTGGGAATAGATAATGGCACAAACGAACGCAACTAGTATATATTATAAGTAGTAGTTACCAATTTTCTGAAAAAAGTAATTCGGTTAACAGGTAAGGTGACGAGATATGCTTCTCAAACTTGAGAAATAATTTAGGAAACTTTCTCATGTACTCGTCTACCAATTTAACGGTCTTATCGCTGTAGAACCACAAATCGTTAATTTTCTGTGTGTATCCCATTACCTTAAATTAATTAAATTAAATTAATAATCATTTTAAATGTATCGCAGTTTACTTGAAATTAAACAAAATGACTTATTCTTAATTGAAATTGATAATGATGATGATTTGAGTAATTTTTTAACAAACTTTAAATTGATAGCTGTGCAATAGATGTTGTTCTGTATAAAGACTTACTTTCTCGTTCATCTTTGTAAACTTCAAATTCAATCCTATGTGATGCCATTTGGGATTTTCCTCGTCATTATGTATCGCAAAAACAGTTCCCGTTATTTTAGTAAAAAGAAAACAACTTATATTTAGACGCTGTGCTGCCACTGAAACCGTCATATAATTATTCTTTGAGTTTAAATACAATTTCTGAATTTCGTTAAGGTTAGGCTCGGGTACTACTTTCATTGCCACTTTGATTCTATTTGATTTTAAATCTACTTCCGCATCTGTAACCTGCAATGAAAACAAGCGCTTCAATAGTTATTTGTATTTGATATTAAAAATGCTTTTATACATGTAAATTATATTTTTACAATGAATGTACAGGAAATATGGATGATTAAGAGTTATTATTAAATTATTGGGCGACAATATCTAAGTAAAAGCGTTGCGTCGCGTAAATAGCTAGTGAACGGAGGGAAATGCGTACCTCTCCCATGGATCCGTAGTGCGGATGACCTAACATGAAGCATACGGACTTCGGCGTAAATATATCGGTGATGGGTTTTACAGGATTTTCATATTGTTCATGCACTTTAAGGTCGAAAAGAGTAAGTTGATATGCGAATGCCAATGGTTTGTCACTCCATTGTTTTTCTAAAATCATTTCTCCTTTTCCGTCGTACACGTAGCGCTTACCCAAAATGGGTAATGCCCAAACGATTATCTCAATATCTCCAATTTCTATACCCATTTGCATTTTGTAACTGAAAAATGTATAAATATTTTGTATAAGTTTTTTTTTTTTTTTTTTTTTTCAACAAAAATGATCGAAATCTTATAAATCCCTAATAACGATTTTTACACTTTTACTTTTATACATGAAAAACTTAAGAATCTACATTCTGTACAATCTATATTCTGTTGAAAAATAATAATAATTAGATTGCGATTGTTTTATTGCTTATTTTAAATGATTAAAAATTATTTATTTATTTATTTATTTATGCGATTACTTCGAGCTTAATTGTATTAATCTATTAAAATAGCTGAGGTGGCTTCTGAATGTCATCAAGTTTGGTTTCAAATTATCTAGAGCATTTATTAAAATTATCGTTTTATCTTGCAATGAAAATGGCGAAATGCTTTAAATCGACATTATATTAATAGAATATTTATAATTTGTTTTAAATTATTACGTTTCATTTATAAATTTATGTGAAGAAAACCATCTTGTAATATCCTTCTCGGATAGATATTTGGTTATTAAATTGCTCTCATCCGCTGATTTCCCCGTTTGGTTGGTCAGCATTTTAAGTTTACTGTTAGATACTTCAACAACCAATGCTTCTGATAAAAATGGCCAACTAACAAACACAGTTTTACCAATCCATTTCTTAGCTAAATCTTTTATAGGTGGGGCCTTTTTTGGTATAAGAGTAAGAATCATATTTTCGTTTCTCGAAGGCAGTTCAAATATCTTTAACTAAAAATGAAACAAAACAATACATTTCTCACCAATTATCATTTAATAAAAGTTTTTAATAAGTTGATTTAAAAAATAGATCGACCATTCGGAAATAAATATACCTTGATTGGCGAAAAATAATTTACTTAAAATACCTTTGCCTTTGACACCAAACAGGTATGTGGAATGTGTTGTAACATGGGAAATCCAGGTAATAAAACATCTCTATCAAATCCCTTATGTATTCCTTTAATTAGTTTATCTTGAGGTACTATGATAGTTTCCCTATCGACTAATTCGATTTGTGCATAACTTTCGATACTGGGAAAATATTCGGGTGCCATATGAAATCCTTGACTAATCTCAGTGTATGTATATACACTCATTTGTTTATGTCGATTTCTTCTCTTTTCTTCTGCTGTCAAATTTTTGTTACATGGCTCCATTGCTGTAAAATTATACCCAAGGCGTAATTAACAGCATAATAAATTTATTATATTTTTTGTTAAAAAAATTTTAAATATAAAACTAATATACAGCATTACTGTTAAAAAGTAAAATAAAATTTTTACATACACAATAAATAAATAAATTACAAGAAATGCTTACTCACCTTCTAATAAACGTTTTTCATCAATGAGTGGAATTAAAACTATTGCCTCCCACTCGTGTTTCTTTCCATTTAAATCGACTTCAAAATCTTCTGGATAAAATTCATGTAATGGAGAGTCTTTATCGATTATAAGTTTATGATAAGCTGCGGGCAATAAGCTGTGACTAGCAGCTGGAAAGGTGGCCAATAATTGCTCGAACGGTAAAAATGGCTTTGCCATATCAAATTCTATTTTAAAATTTTCAAAATCCTTAATATCTGATATAAATAGCGTATAGTGGTTAGGAAAATACCATGACCAACTGCAGCAGCCATTATAATAATAATGAAGATTCCATTGTAGTGTTTTAATGTACATTTCGCTATGATCTTGAAAAAATTTTCTAAAAAAATTAGTGGAATTAATAAAATATTAATTGAACAAGGGCATTTATTTTATGAAGTTATTATTATTAATTTTTTTTTTATGTATTTATTATTATTATTATTTTTAATTATTTATTTCTTTTTATTGAGTAACTACAATGACGCCAGATTTGATGTGACTCAAATTTTCTATTTTATACTTAAGTAGCTTTAATATGAAAGCAAGAAATCCAATTAAATTCTTAAGCGAATGATATTTTGAAAAAACTTTTTAAAATATTGTCTTACTCATCTATATCTTCGTTCTCTATATGCATTTTATCCATATAATAATCATGCTTATACATTTCGAATTCATGAAGCGAAAAATGATTATTACCAAACTTGTCAGATTTATTAGAATTATCATTGTCTTCTATATTAGCATTGTCATTTTCATTATCTTCATTATGACCATGACTATCTTCTGACTACCCGTAATAAACCAAATAAAGATAATTGAATTATTAAATTATTGCATAAAAAATTGAAAGATTTACCTTTGTTGCCAATAATTTTGGTGAATGATTATCATTTTTGAGCATTGTACATGGTATTTTATCACTTTTTAAATCTAAATCCTTTGTGTCAGAAGAACTTTGAATAAAATAGTCGATGTCAAATTGTCCAAGTTTTTGTAAAAACTTTTTAAAGCGTTTGAGATTCAGTATTCCACCTTCATTAATGTAACCTAACAATAAATATGTTTATGCTATAAAAATAAATTATTATTCATAGCTTACTAATTATGAATTAATTTTAAAGATGCATTATGTATGCATTAACAAATAATTGTTTAATGATAAATCAATGATAAATCATGATTATTTTATACGTTTAAAAATACTTTATAATATTTATTGTTAATTTGAAACTTTTAATTTAACGACATGAATCACTATTTTACTATAAAATTATATATAAACCATTGGTACGTTAATTGCGATCATTTTTTAATTGTTCAGACTTTTGCAACTTACCATCTAAAGTGGGTAATGTATTTATGTACACTTGGTACATAAATATAAATGCATTATTTCCAATGTAGAAATATGGCAATGATGGAATAAAATCATTCCCTACTAAAAAACTCATTAAAATCCAATCATCTATTATGCTTTCAATATCGAATTTAAACCTTAATTTATCTTTAACGGAAGAAAATTCATGTTCAATATAATCTCTTAGCAAAGATAAATGTAAAAGACAAAATTGAAGTTCATCTATATTTGTCGACCTCATTGCGCTTTTATTAAATTTAACTTCTTCCCGAAGTATTGAAAAGTATGGTTGATGTGTAGACAAACCCAATATTATAAGATCTGCATCTAAACCATATAAACAGTGACGAGTTTTTCCATCGTAAGTTGGCTTGGCCTTTATATACCTTAAATAGTCCATTATTTTATGTTCCCCTTCACCGGGTATTTGACAAAAAAAAAAAAAAAAAAAAAAAAATAAATATGTTTTTTCATAATTATAAATGAAAACTATTTTCAGTATTAAATAAAAAAGATTTTCTAAATTATTGCTTAAAAAAAAAATTCTTAATTGAAAAACACTTCAAATACTATATCCCATTTAAAAATTCATTATTTATAATGAAATATGCAATTTTTTACATATTGGTATTGCACGATCATTTTAAAAAGAATTAAAAGACAAAAGTCATATTTGAATAAAACAATACTTGATTTTAATTTATAAGTTTCTAACTTTACTGTTGAAAATTTTATATTTAAAAGATATCTCATAATTTATGCGGATTTCTTATTTATAATGTGTTACTTGTTCATGGCTATAATTCTACTTATAAGTATATATATATATATATATATATATATATTTGTGTGTGTGTATGTGTGTGTGCGCGCGCGCGCGCGTGTGTATATATATATATGTAAAAAATTAATTTAAAAGTTTAATCTATTCAAATAATATATTTACATCGGATCCACTCAAAATAACTTCACACCTTCTCCACAGCTTATCCGTAGATATTTTATATGTGACAAAATACTTTAATTGTTCATTAAGTTTTGCCATGAATACTGTTCCTGGTGTAATACAATTAGAATCAAATCTTTTTTCTTCAGGAATTTTTTCACCTCGTTCCCGTGCCTTGGCTTCAATCAGTTCCATATTTTTTATACTTTTAAATCGACGACTTCGTTGTTGATTAACTTTGGCACGAGGTGCTACGCCATCCAATGCTAAGAAAAACAGTTTCTCGGGCTTTACCAAACGAAACAGTATTTCTATATAATGAAATATATTTTTAAATATTTCTTCTTCTGATATACGATATGTTACATCATTGTCGTTTGGATGAGAACAAACATGTATAATACCATTCATATCTAAATATAAATTATCAAATGTAGGTATCTGTAAACATAATTGAAATTTTTATTGAACAAATTTAAGAATCATAAAAGAAATGTAAATTAAAAAAATTACATAAAATAAAATTTATTTCAAAATATTTTTTTTTAACGAGCACTTTATGTGTATTTACATTTTAAATAGTCAACGTTTTCATTAGTTGAAACATTTGAATAGATAAAAAAAAAAACAAAGGTATAATTATAATTAAATTCTAAGTTTAAAAATTCACAAAAATATTATCGTTAAGTTATTGATATCAATGTATATCTAAAAAAACATTGAAATATAATGTAAAGATTATGTTTTCAAAAATTCATATTTCAGGCACATTTTTGTATTAGTTATAATAATAATAATGCAAATAATATTCAAGAAAAAGAAACTTCTAAACATTAAATTAGCTTGACATACTTTCAACCATTAATATGATTTGAAGATATTTTTCATGTGCATTTTTCAATGCACTATTTGGTTTCATGGAAAATCATTTAAATAGGTTTGTCTGTCTCGATTTTAATGAGAATGCCGGTAAGATTTTACTTTATAACATCGTTATTACATAATTACATAAGTAATATCCGAATAATCGTTTTTTATTATTTTAATATTATTATTGTTTTTTACTTTTTAATTAATCGTATGCATTTAGAATGGCATATTTTTTAATGAATTGCCGATAGAAGATTATAAATGATTAAAGCGTAAGGATCGTCGTTATTAAAACTAATATTAAAACTAATCCTCGTGTCGCTTAGCTCCCCGTCATTAATCATAATTATTTTCAATAATTTAGAAGCCCAAAGCATTTGCATTAATAAATTGTGAATGCACGAGCATTGTATCCAATAATAATAATAATAATAATAATAAATAAAATGGTATTATATTATTTTGCTTGCAGCCATTTTTAGTTCTCCGCGTCATGTGTGACGTCATTTGACCAGGCATGCCCGGTCACGATTTTGAGATGTTTGATGGAGTATAGACAGACACAACATATCACTTAAGCAGTAACGCGATATAAAAATCGTGCAATACGACTAAATATATTAGCAAATTAATAGAGAATAATGTTTGTTCGTTCATTTTTATTTTATAAAATAGGCTTCAGCGGTTGGTGCTGCGAAGCAGAAAATACTCATAAAATGCTCGTTGCAATCTCGCACAATTAAGATTCTAAAATTCTTCAACTACCAAGCACAACGACACTTTAATTATTAAAAAAGAATGCGAGTATACCTGATGTTCATTGTTTAATTTTTTAACGATGCAAGGATATCGTTCACTCGTAAATCTAAAAAACTTTGGTATCCCCATTTTGTGCGCGCGGGTGCGTGCACGCGCGCGTGTGTGTGTGAGTGAGTGCGTTCGTCGCTTTCACAGTTACGATTGTTAAATTGTTTCGCTCACAGGTAAAAACGTGTAAATCTGTAGTGAAGCATGAGCTTAAAAATAAATTCTAATCGTTGTTGATAATTTTAGGGAGCGTTAAAACGCGTTTTCTTTAATAAAACTGGGATAAAAGACGTGCTGCGACGAAACGCAGACGCTGCCCTCTTACTAAATTCCGTTCCTTACTCTTCCTTTACTTGTGTTCTATCGACGAATGCTATACGACATGCCAAGTATTGTATTTCACTTTTAAATATTTCCTTATATCTTTCATAATCGGCTCGGTTGTTGTTGGCGCGAAGTAACTAAAGACAACAATGGTGCATTATATTACACTTCCAAATGTTTTCTTATCTCTTTCATTATCGGCTCAGTTGTTGGTACGAACTAGTCGAAGATAACAACGGCGCGAAGTGCACTGCAAACAGTTTATGATTTTATAAAGCGAGGCAGAGGAGATTCTTCGCGGATACCTCAACTTCCAAAATTCGTTGCAGCCGCGCGCGCTCCAAGGTCGCCACTGCTTATAATGCAATATATAACGTCAGTCATTCATTTGTCTCGAAAACATTATCCTACCTTGTTACATTAATATTTATTCTCGATGCGCTAGTTAATCCTGGTTAATATTTAATATAATAATGTTTCTGCTTCTGAGAAATTGCCGATTCTGCGCAGTATTAAAATTATGGGTGCCATGTGAATTTGCGCACCATTTTCAAAACAAATAAAGCGAACGAACGATCGATGGAGGTATGAAAAAGAAAAAGAAAAAGAAAAAGAAAAAGAAAAAATTATAATGACAACGTTTATTTAATCCTCTACGGTACTTGATAATTTCATTATAGATAATGTGATAATTAGCGTAAAATAAATGAATACCGTTTGATTGAGACTCTTTATCACTTTCGTCGAATGTCATTAAAAATTCATTATTCAACGTGTCGTCCCTTTCTCCTAGCATAACGAAACCATGGAACAAAAACCTTAAATATTAAACTTATGTTTAATTCGATAATATTTGAGAAACTTGACAAGGATTTAAGAAAATTTATGAAAATGATCGTCGTGAATAAATAATACGTCGGGGGAAAGGTGATTATCGATAGTATTAATAATGTATTATGTTAATCATCGATGCTGATTTCGTATTAATGTTATAAAAGTAATCGTTGCGTGAATTTGATTGGACGCAGACCAGAAGAGGGGAAAGGAATTTATTCGTCGATAACAATGTTAAAATAATCGTTTTTTAAGCGCATTGCACAATATCACGTATCGTATGAAGTATTTTGCCCTCGTAATTTTAATGTAAATTGAACGATGTGATTATAATGTCCAAGATATGTAACTAAACCACCTGCTCGTCGTTAAAATTTTTCAATTAAATCGCACGTAATATTGTGGTTGGCTAATAAACTCGGCGACTGAAACTTTATTCATTAAACATTGCCATGACCATTAAATACCTCGTATACTTTTCCCTTAATTCCGGAATCACATAATGCCCGATAACTTTACTCGATTTATTATTGACGGTTAATTATCATACGACAATCGAATGGAACAAAAGCTTAAGGAAAGCTTATTATTCAATGTAATTTGTAATTTTTACCAATACCCACACGCGCTACTTTATATAAAATAATTTGAACAAACCTATATACACACACACCCATACACACACACACACACACACACCCATCCACACACACACGCGCACCCATCCACACACACACACACACACACACATATATATATATATATATATATATAAATATAGGTATATAATTTATACGAACGTAGGGCTAGCTAGGAGATAGTGGGCCGTATGAACAATAACGAGGAAAATAATATTTTCCCATATTTATAAAGAGGAATATTCTTTGGATGTATGAATTTATTGATTTTTATTCGTGTGAAATGAATGCTACTCGGCCAGTGTCGCCGACAAGTTCTATCATTCATTATACCTCCGAGACAAACAAAAAAGCGACGTTTTCATTTATTGGCTCAAAATGACTAAACGTAAACTGGTGTACTTTTTCAACGAATTTATCTAATAGCCGAGGATCGAGATCTTTCCCATTACACTCATACTAAGATAGGATGACGAGGAGGAGATCGCATGCGAGTAGACTAGCGAGTTGTGTAATAAGTGTCGCTAGCAATGGTCTTGACCGTTAGATTTGAAATTCCGAAAAGGCGAAATGACCGTTGACAAATGACGAGCGAGCGACTAGCGAAAGTAAGGAACGAGCAATCTCCTCTCCACCGACGCCGAGCCGCCTTTTATGGAAAGTTTGCGCGTGCCGTTGTGCCGTAGAGATGCGCCGAGACGATGCTGACTTGAAATTATTCTTTATGTGCCTGGTGTTGTATAGAGAGAGGGAGATGGATGATTGGTTGAGTAGGTGAGGACTGCCGATGGTTGGGTCACCGGTCGTCGACTATAGGGTGGCGCTTGTTACGACGGACTCGGATATTCTCGCAGAATTCGTATAAACCGACGCGTCGAGGCTTCGCTCTGCCATTTACTTGTCGGTACGTCGTCGGTCCGAGATCGCTAACGAGTCGTTTGGTTCGCTGAGGCGTAGAGGCGTGGAGGAGGAGGGCGGTAAGTCACGATATTGCGAATAATAATGCCTGATAAATCGTAGATTCGACGATCCGTGCACATCGGCTTCTAAATTACCGTGGAATTGTTTTGTTCATTGTTATTGACGATTAGGAAGGTTAGGGTCGCTTGGTAGTTGATGTATTTTTATCAAATATTAACGTAGCCTCGTCGGAATTTGGTTAATTTAATGAGCCACGCGCCCGTCCAAGCCACCTCGACACATTTCAACGATCGTTAACGGTACAATTTTACATCGTCGATCGAGCATTTTAGAGGGGGGAATTCGTTTGAAAAAAATACGTTGCCGCGCGAATCAACGTGGTCATCGATCAATATATAACGGATTTTTTTTTTATTTTTACCCACGTACCTTTTTTCGCTCTATCATACGAGAGTTTCAAGACGTATGTTAAAATTATCTTAATATTATACGTAATTATTTGGTGCATTTTCGTGCAGTCGTGGTTTTGATAATGGATCGACGATGAGATTGTCGTTTATTTAATTTTTGTTTCTCATTCTCATTAATAATGTAGATAATAAATGCTTTGCGAAAATAAAATTTAGCTGATGATTTTGCTTGTCTCGTTCGTATGATATTCTGATTATACTGCAATGAATTTATCTGACAAATTTATCGAATAAATTATTCGACCATTTTTTTAAATACATACAAAAATTGTAATCGTTGTATTGTTTTATTTTTTATTTTTACAGCAACTAGATAAATTTAATCGTGCTCTTGGATCATGGAAAAACAAGAATTTCGCTTTTTGACGAAACATGAATGTTTACATGGCAAAACGTTGAAAGAAACGGAAGAATATCTTACAAAGCATTATGGAAAATTTGCTCCATCGCATAAGGTGATTCATAAACTGTTTGCCGATTATGCTCGTTATCAAAATGATACAAACACGGAATCTGTTGCAAAACCCAGCGAAACTACGTCATAAATCATTAAGCGTCTTCAAAGAATGTACGTACAAATTCCAATTAATTAGCCTTACGTTTCAGCATTAGTATAAATTGTTATTAAACTTTTGTTCCTTTCCTTTCAGTCATCGAGATTTATGTGTAAATAGCAGCTGACGGGAAAGTGGAAAAGCATGTTTAAAATGTTATTACGTATTAAGAAATAACACCAAGAATTTGCTATTTATTTGTAAATCGATTTGCAATTATACATACTGATTGGATAAATATATTTTATGTTTTGGTAAATATCTAATAATAGCTTTTGTATACTTTACTTTGTACTTTTTTTTTTTTTTTTTGTGGTTAAAAATATAAAATATTTATAATTCTGTATATTATCTAAATGTATTAAATGATGTTAATCTTACCGCCCCAGTCTGAGTTCTATGACTGATTCGGATTTCTGATAAAAAAAAAAAAATAAATAAATAAAAGTACGTTCAAATTGTTTTTGCATATAAAATAATGGGAATTTTATTTCAGATTACCACAATAATTATTCGAATAAACTGCAAGGGATTTTTCCATTATGCTTGGTATTGGATAATAGGTAAGCGTTTAACACAGTTTGAATTTTTCTAATTTAAAATTATATAGTTTTTCAATCTCGAATTAATGATGAGTACTATTAACGCTCCAGTCAAACAGAATGGTCAGTGACGACTGCATATTTCTGATTTAACTTTTATATTACATCATGTTATATAATAAATATGCCTCTTTGTAGTCTGGTCTTCATTTGCTATTTTATTTCTAGAGATAAATATGGAAACCACCAATTTATGAATCTTACAAAATAATTACATAAGAATGGATATCTTGATTACACATTGAATTACACATCAACTTCAACGATGACCAGACCAAACACAAAGGTAAATAATTTTATCACGTTATGAAAATTTAATATGCCCTCTACAATGATGAGTTATTTAGTTATCCCTGTCTTACTTAGAAATGGTGAAAAATCTAACCTGATATTTTATTTTTATCAAAACTTCCCATTTTTTCTGCGTCTATAAATTAAATTCTAATATGCTAAAATTCATTTTAGTAAATAAAAAAGCTGCTCAAGGAATAAAACTTCATTATTTTGAATTATGGTAGGTTACATTCTTATCGTTATATTTTTAAAAACCATTATGTATGATGAATTAATTTGACAAGCATATGACTGATTATTTTTGATGTCACTTTTTACTGATATAAAATTTACAATTTTAAAAACGATCTTTTATTAAATTTATTTCTTAACGAGTTCCCTTTATTTTCACAGGGTAATAATGCCTTTCGTTCCATAAATTTGATAATTCGACGAACAGAGCTTGCAGTCATTTATAAAAGTAAGTTTACCTTTGCTATACAAGAATAAAGTAATGTTAGCTTGAAACAAAATGATGAATCAAATTACGCTATTATGATTTTTAAAAAAAAAAAAAAATGATTTTGTACTTGCCCTCACTGATAGCAAACTAATTTATATTATTATTTATAATAAACTGGAATAGTCAATAATTTTAAAAGGACTACTTTGGAACTGTTTCAGATTAAGTCTGTAATGGATCGGTAAATGATTTAAAACCTGATGGATATCCATTTGCTGCATACGTATGAAAGAACTGTTCATTGGACTGCGAATATGGGTTAGTAATTAAAAATATTATCCAAGTGGATACTGTAATGATGTTCTCTATAATATACGCTATGAAATCTAATGAAATTGTTGGTATAGCTGAACAGTATCTCAACGATTGTGTAATATGACTTATGCGTAAACTATTCTAACAATATTTAATATACGTTACAATTATATTTCAGAATATAATAGATGTTACCTGGATTAATAAAATGATTATTCATAGTATGCGATCTTGATAAATCGAACGAATAAGTCTTTTATGAATCTGAAGCAACTTTGGTCATTTAAATTGATATAACTGGCGAAATACTGAATTTTTAACGTATTTATATTAATTGTATGTTTTCTTGAGAATAAAAATGTCTTTCATACCATATACAAATTTGACTTTATATTAAAAAATAAAAGATCCCTTGAATTCCATAACTAAATACGATACATAAGTGGAGATTATACAACTTATTAATATTACTAAACTCTGCAATGAAAATGGGTATTTGTAAAAAATTAACATACGCATTGTATATAATTGTTAAAGTTTTTATATTATACAACATTTGTAGATAAATTTCAATTGGTTAAAATGTATTTTTAATTTGTGGTATATCAAGAAGTAGTGATAGAAATAATGTACCTTTTTTAAGATAAAATTGACATTAAATAAAGCAAGTGTACATTGTAAAAAAATTTCATTATTGAATTACAAACTTGTATTATCGTTAAAATACTAAATTGTTTATTTTTTCTTCATTTTACGAAACGTTCTGGTTTAATGACGATCCGGTAATCTAATGCTAGTAAGTAAATATTTATATTTTTCTAAAATTGAACGAGGGTTGTGATAAAGTTGTGCATTATAAATATTTATGATAGGAAAATCATTTATAGGTTCTGTGCAATTGATACTATTTGATGAAATTCATAAAAATTATTTTAATTCGTAAATCAGTGTGCTCTTTCGTACCAAACAGATTTATTTATACGTCAAGAAGATATTTTATAAATAAATGTTATGAAAGTAATTGTCAATGGCCATTATATATTTTAACAAAAAGGTCCTTTTTGTTTTATTACTAAATTGGATTATTTAATTAATAAATCTACATATATGTATATATATATATATATATATATATATATATATATCATTGAGATATTTATTTGTATAAATTTATTTCAAACATCTCTATAATGCTATATTCCAAATAGTTTTAACTTAAAAAGGGGGACACTTACATTTGAATGTGTGCTGAATGCAAAAATATTCGTTGGATAAGCTACACGATTTATTTTCAAAAATATATAAACAATTAGATTATGATCAACGTAATGAGAAATAAATTGCCGAATATCGTGGAACCGATGCTGTGGATAGAAATCATGAACATTGATCATCAAGTAATATTTATTTTGAAAAATTAAGCAATTAACTTGCAAATGTTGAATTATTTATTTAGTATTTCGAAAATTTCATTACATACATATATTATATAAACATTCGTTTTAATACGTTAAAAATTTTCAATTTACTTGCTTAGATTATTCGTACATAACACTATTTGATAATTGTTGAAAAACATTATGAATGTTTGGAAATATTTTTAGAAAATGTTATGGCGTATGTGTAATCGTACGACGGTAGTTGCTTATAATAAATTTATTATTGATAACTATCGTCTGTCCAAGCCCTCCCAACACTGCAATAATAAATCTATGCGATAAAAAAATATTTCGTTTTATACCAAATTCAAATATAGTCGGTTACTCTTTGTATCGTTAATAATATATTAATGCGTGGAGCCTCAAAGAAATATAAAATACGCCCCTGGTCCACTAAATCTTTAAGACCATACGGAAACATTTTTCAGTACAATCAATCTTCATTACAATAATAAGCCTCTAATATCATGTTTTACAGGAATATTGAAAATTGCAAATGTACGCATAGCAGACAGTTTTAATATGCATAAAAAATATTAACATAAAAAATTAAAACATATATATATATATATATATATGTGTGTGTGTATGTATGTATATATTACGATAGACAAATTACATCGAAGCAAATGCTACTGTGTTTCATATTGATATTATTATATTGAAAAAGTTCGGGTCTATAAATATTATAAATTAATTCATAATACAGTAAGTATAAGTATATCGTTGGTATAAATATTGAAAAATTTGCTTCTTAATGTTTTAAAATCGTTTATACGTTCTTGAACAGGCAATGGAAATAATGACAGTAAACAATAAGTATATTGTTTAGTGGGGGAAAATAAGCCTTGACGATGAATCGTAATTAATGAAGTATTTATAATTTAAAATTATTTTATTTGTCTTTGCAAGCTTCGGTAAGTATCAATATGTGTTTTCATACTTTGCCGATCAATTATAACTAATAAATAAATTAAATCGTACTAAAGAAAGTTGCTAGAACAATCGAACAATTAACATATTAATTACAGCGTGTAGTACGACGAATCTACATAAAATAGCTTAGAGCACAAAAATATAAGCAATCAAGAGGTACAATGTACGTAGTAGCCATATTTAGCTAATTAATCTTTTGGTATTTGTTTTATTTTAAAATTCCGCAATTTCGACATACCGTAGTTCTCGATAAGTAACAAAAATTTTTCTTTCACTTTTTTTTCTTCCCGCTATCGGCGGATGCACTTGACGCGTGAGAAAGTCTGAAAGTCTCTAAGTTTTAAGACGAGCATTTGTACTCGCGATGCTTCTTCATTGCTCGTAAAGACACTCGCCGTGCTTCGAATGTCAGATCGTCGCAAGTCACTTCAGCTTTACGCCCTTAATTAATATATTACAAAATTGTGCCAAATACATATGTGTGTGAGATTTTCACTCCTCGATAGAAAGAAATTTGTTCTATTACAAATATGCATTAGAAATTTGCTAGTAAAATTGCACTACAGTAAAGACCTATAAATACATATAAAAATTAAAGTTCACCTATGCTTCGTTATTCGCGTTAAATATTATTGCAATCTCGTATGAAACAAATTATATGCAAGATTAAAATTATATATACATAATTAGACAATTATATTCGTATAGGTCTTAATTATAAATAAGAAGGAGATGTAAAGTGTTAGAGACATATCTGTTATTACGAATACATAATTAATTAATTGAAATAGATATATCATCGGTATTATAATGGAAGAGAGAGAGAGAGAGAGAGAGAGAGA